TTAGTTGTTGTCAATGTCAAGTTACCAAAAACAGCTAGGATAACAGGTTTCTTTAAATGCCTTGAAATTGTTAGTTTCAATCGTGAATATCAACCCAAAAGATTTGTCTTTTGGTTACCTACGTTAAACGTGCCAAAACACCTACCGCCCGTAATTTGGTAAAGTTGATTGGCAAAACCACCGCCTTCTCCGTCTGGTTGGCAGTTATTAGAAGGCCCGTATTTCATATATGTCTGCCCAGCGTTGCAGGAAGAGGCACACCATCCACCGTGCTGTAAAGCAAAATATTTGTACCCGCGTTTCCTTGCAGCTTGGTAGCATTTCTCGACTGCATTCGTTCGTAACCAGTATGCCCCGTCAAGGATGGGATCTTTACCCTCCAAAGGAGGAATGGCCCGGTTTGACGAGTCAGCCCAGCAACCCAATTTTATATAACCTGTGAAAAAACAAGATGCCCTTTAAAAAGATCCACATCCAAGGAATTTTGTAGCACGTTTATCATCCCTGTCAAACAATCCTTGAGTGAAGCTTTCAACAAAGCAGAAGAGTGTATGGACATGATAAATGTATTTCAAACCGCTGGTAGCAGAACAAAAGCCCGTTAGCTTACCGATGTTTCCTTCCAAATACAAACCGACACGTGCTCTAAAGCGAATATAATGCTACACAAAATCCGTTTTAATACCATTTCTTTTTCAGTATTTCTGTTTGTTTCTTCCTGTTACAATATAACAAAAAAACTGGTAACTTACCCTGGGAAACCACTCTGGCTGCCATCATGGCGATTGTCAAAATAAAGCCAACAGAGTAACTCTTCATGGCTTATATCAAATTGGCAAATAACCTGGTGCAATGTCCTCCTGTAAAAAAAAAGAAATAAAAGGCCGATAAGCTGGGCGTGTCTTCCTCAAAACATCCATTTTTATGAGCTGTTGGTAGTTCTCATTTTTGCAATCTTTCTTTTATTGATCTAAAATATTCTACATATATCTGACCGAAAAGAATTTATACCTTTGGTGCAAAATTAATTTGTCATGATTACTGTGTTCTTGCGAATTTTGAAATCAGCAAAGCTCCTTGAATTCTTTATCTGATGCTTAGATGCCAAAGGCGCATGTATGCTGCAGAATTGACGTAGCTGTGTGCCGTATGCCAAAATTGTTCTCTAGCTGAACTCAATCCAATGTCTTAAAATACCAAAAGTTTGAAGCACAATGTAAAAAACCGGGATATATCAGTTATGTTTAAAAAAACTCAAAGCCCTACACCTATTTCACAAACTAATCCCAATTGCTTTTGCAGCTTTGTAAAACCTACCATCATGATTTCGTTAACCACTTCAAACTTTTGGTATTTATATGACCATACCTCCACAGGTAATAGCAGTACTTACAGGGTTGGTTCACTCAGGTAGGTAGCAGCAAAATGGTGGCAACAGTTATCTATGTCCCCAGAAACTGAAATATCCCCAGCCTTTCTAACAAGAATAACTAAAAAGATGATTTGATTGATTGTGGCTTTATAGTGCATCGGGTGACGTCAAGGAACAGATTAACCCACGCGATGTGTACATCTTTAATACCCATCTGCCGTTTGATGGTCGTCGTCAGTAAATAATTCAACAGTCCTTTAGCTGGCCTACTGTGAAGCCTGAGAAGACACATATCTGCTTCAACAACAAGCGTTCTTGGTCGATTCTTTCTTCTTTTGTATGAATGGACGTTGGCATTTATTATAATCATTATTATTGTTCCACTTCTTCTTGTTGCTGTTATTGTCCACAGTGGTGCTGTAACGTGAACATAGATCAACTACAAATTAACAACCTTATCACTATCTACATGAAAGATATTGGCAGCCACTAGCTTTCTTATGCGGGATCATAAGTTTACCAAATTTTAGGCAAATGTTTTTTGTTTTTTTTTTTTATCAAACCATTTTTCAAGTCTTGAGAATCTATATATTTGAATAAAAAAAATAATGAACATCAGATGAATTGCTTCAGATAAGCCATATGATGGGTTAAAGAAAAATGTTTTAATACCCACTATAGACTTATCAAAATTGCATTGCTATGACTTTAAACGCACACATCTCCTTCTTTGCCTTTGGTGTGTGTTGATAGATTTATAGGAAAAGGGCTGAAAATATGTTTTGTGAAATAAAATCTGTGATAAACTTTGTAAATACAGAACAATAGAAATAGGCCCTAAAACGTATATTTTTGGAAAACTTATACATACTGAAATGTTTCTTCAGTAAAATAAAAACATGAAAATATATTTATCTTGCAAAAAAAAAAAGCTTTGGCATTTACATATTTGCTGTACTCTGCAAATTTCTGAAACAAAAATACATTTTACTTTTAAGACATTATTTTAAGGGCCATTTTAATACTAATCTTGATAATCACAAAGCAAGAGCTTTGGCTGCCATATTGTCTATCCTAGTGCTACCAACAGCATGGTTATTCACTGGAAGAAAGAAGGAAGTACATAAGTTTATTAGGTGCAGGCTTTGGTGACGTCAAAGAAATGACATACCCCGCGATGGTACATCTTTAATGACCGTCTGCTGTCTGATGGTCGTCAGGCACAATTTACAATTTTACAGATTACAAACTGTCACGGAAAAGTAATTGAATGGAGTGATAGAGTTTAAGAAACTTATTGTCAATAAACGGTGGAGGCTTCACACGACACTGATGCTGAGGAAACTTAAGACTTTATTTTAACTGTAGCCTACGTACTACATATATATGCCTGAAATAATGATTGCTCAAACGTCGAGTTTCGTCACTCCATTTTGCTGTATTCTTTTAGGCAAACATGAGGAGCAAAGCTAGGTCTATTTTGAAATCTTCTCCCAGCTAACACAGGACGTTTTGACAATTTAACCACAGGGTTACATATCGGTTAGACCACCAGCAAACTACAAGAAAACATTATTCTAACGTTTGCCTAAAAGAATACAGTGATACAAAGAAATCAGTAAAACATTGAAACTTTTCCAAGAGCTTGACAAGTGCACAGGGATGTATTAAACATCTACCAGTAGCAACAGATGCTTCTGATTGTGGAGTACAGACTTATGACGTTCAACGCTTCCACGTCCGGATACATCTTTGACATGTTGGATGTTCACTGTCTATTATTCATACTTGGTGACAGACAGTGAATTGATCCCCTCTCGGTGCATTCTACCTAAGTATTAGATACCTGCATACGTCCATTTACTTCAGTCTCTCTCTCTCTCTCTCTCTCTCTCTCTCTCTCTCTCTCTCATTTCCTTGTCCTTGTAGGACATTGACCGTCATGGACCTCCACATCTCCCTTTCTTCACATGATCCCAAAATTGTCACACTGCACCCACCCACCCATAGACCTAAACTCTTGACAAAACCGACAGGCGGTCTTTCTCTGCCTATCATTCCTTTGATTTTCCCAGTGACCATTTTTAAGTGTTAAAACACTCCAAGCCTCCTTTCCTTATCACATGCCAAAAAAAAGTAACTGCCTCTTTTTTTGTTGTAAGCAAACGTCTCTCCCTTCCAGCTCTTGTATGCATATATTTGTTGAGTGAAAATTATTATTTGGTTTGAGGCATCGTCACTTATTATTTTAATGAATTGTATGGGGGGAAGGCCAGATTTTCCTGTTGTGTGCAGTCTAATGAATCAGAGCAACTTCTTTCTCTATTGAAACATGTCTTGTGGCGTAAAAAGGAGTTATATGTTATAAACTTGTGGTGGGGCACAAGTAAATGGGAAAAAATTGTTTTTTTTTTAATCCTAGAGAAGAGAGGGAGGGTGGTGTATTACGGTATTTTCTCACAGAGGCCATCACTGATTTCACTCTACTATATAAAATTGTAACTAGGACAACTGGTTTCAGCTTATTTATTCATTTTATGTATCTTTTCTCCTAGTTGGTCTAAAGAATTGTACTGATGACCAATATACATCTTTAACTGGCGGTGATGGTCGATTTAATGTCATCACTTCGGTCTTCTTTTTGCTTTGCCTGACTTATTGGCTGAAGATGTTAATTAAGTATGTTGGTCTTCTCTTGCATGTGTGGATGTGTGTGGGACAATACTCAGGGGCGGATTGAGGCTGTTTTCTGGGTCTTCCAGAAGACGGTCAGATTTTCAACTTACGTTGACAGATAGGGCCTATCTAATATCGTCTGTTGGAAGACGGTAAAAAAAAAAAAAAAAGAGGATGGATCAGCAAAGATAATTTGGAAGAAAATATCTCTGGATCTGCCCCATTATTAATGCAGGATCATCTGCAAAAATACAAATGATGAAATTTTTCAGTATTTGTTATTAGGCCCTACTGGTAATTTTGTTTTACGTAGGCCTATATAGAGCCATATTAGACTTTTACAACGAACAGTGTAGCCTATATAAAAGTTTGGCATGTTGTGATTTTGTCTATTTTCACCGTCAAACATTTCACAGTCACACACAGTCAAACAATTGTCATTATAAAAATATGTTTTTCATTTCTTTTTTCCAAATTATTAGCAAAGCCTATAATTTCATTTATGTCCCCACATACCGGAGAGTCATTCGGCGCGGCAATCTCTGAGAGACTAATTAACTAGTCGTGCACTAACTAATCCTTGGTCAGGGCTACTAATTAACTGGTAAAATGTGCTAAGTGGCATCTGAACTGTGTGAATTCGCTGCGCAACCTATCAGCAACTGGAATGTGCTGCCATTTTATCAGTATTTCTTGTGGCCTGTGGTGCCGTTTCCGCCAGCTTCTGACCTGTCGTGCCGCTTTTCCAAGTCTGAGGTCTCTCCATAATGGAGCCTGGCTTCTTCAAACGTTCTGCAGTTCTCCTTGAGATTTTTTCTATGATTTTCAAATTTTCCAATATCAAAATGTAGCAAATATATAGTTAATCACTGAAATGAAAACTTATAAAGTTATAAAGAGTATTGAATTAAATTTCATATTTGCAAATAAAACTAGATATACACCTTCAGTGCGGTACTGCTACCCACGCGCCATTTTTATCAAGCAGACAAAGGTAGTATGTCCTAAACGCATTTAGTCCTTCTTTACAGAAAATATTGTGTGTTCTGTATATTTTATGAGTTTACTACTGGAAATTTTCATATTTACATACATTAGAGCTATATGTTTTGTTGTTAGAAACGTTTTATTGTCCGTTTTCGAGCCGGCATTTAAAATTTTGAGCAGACACGAGTGATAACTTAACTCCACTGGTACTGATGCCGAATATTGTATATACATACATTTTTATTAAATTTATTAGCGTGAACAGTCAGCACCATGGGGTCGAAAGAAGCTGATCGTCCGGGCAAGATTTTTGTGGGAGGCTTGCCTGATGTGTATGGAGAACAAGAACTTGAGAAAGCTTTTGCAAGATTTGGAAAAATAACTGAAGGTTAGTACATAAAGTCTACGTGTATTTTTAAGGGGGTCGTAATACGGCTAAAGCGCTATGGATTTGACTCCCTTCTCTCAATTTTTAATTTCTTTTTTTTTCATGTTTTCTTCGTACTAGTCCTTATATTTTCTGAAGACCAGTCTATACATTTTTTTAAAAATCTGGGGTTATTTAAATCCTACATCTAAAGTTATTCATTGAAAGTAATCATTTTGTAGCAAACTGCAGGATTATCTGTTTATAACAGACATTATATATTACAGAGGCCATCTTAAAAAACTGACTTGTTTATATATATATATATATATATATATATATATATATATATATATATATATATATATATATATATAACAGATTTCAGATGTAGTAGAGATCATCTTACAAAACCATCCACTTTCTTTTTCAGTACTACTTATTAAAGACAGACAGACATCAAAGTCCCGTGGTTATGGATTTGTGACATTTGAGAATCCACAAGATGGAATTGATGCTGTTAAACTTATGGATGGAAAGGTGATAATTTACCTGATTATATGTTTATATTTGTTTATAAGTTGTGTATGTTTATGTATAGAATAAATTTGGAGGGATCACCCAAAAGTAAAGGAACTGGGAGTCTTAAAGGTCAAACATAAGAATTATAGTTCTATCTTTTGGTAATATCAGCATAATATCTCATTTAATTGAACCACTGCTGATTTATGTTAATTGAAGTTAGATGAAAATGTTAGGCAGAAAATTAACACCAAGATTTGGTCTTAATTTCTATTATTAAACCTGCCCTCTAGGCTTGAAGTCTAATTAGTCAAGGACTCAAGGTATTTAGCATAGACCGCATTCACAACGAGTTGAGCCATGGCTCTACAAATCCACAAACTAAATATGGCGGACGTACATGAAAGAAAAAACGCCTAATCTTTTAATAGTCTCTCCGCCTCTCACATGCCTCCCCACGCGTCGTCCCTGCAGGGGTACAGTCATTTAATCTTGGATCCATTGGGACAACACATGGGGAGGCGTGTGAGAGGCGGAGAGACTAATAAAAGATTAGGCGGGGGTTTTTTTCATGTACGTCCGCCATATTTCGTTTGCGGATTTGTATAGCCATGGCTCAACTTGTTGTGAATGTGGTCATAGAGGACCATTTTTTCATGTCATGTATTGCATTTGTTAATTTTCCAGACATTGGAAGGAAAGACGATCAAATGTGAACAGGCCAACAAACCGTCTGAGGGCCCCAGGGGACGCGGGGGGATGTCTGAGCGGGGGATGAGACCTCTGAGAGGGCGTGGTGGACCCCCTAGGGGAGGATTTGCTGGCAGGTAAGTTGGGGGTGGTGCCACAATCACTTACTACTAGCATGAATTATTTTTTATTTACATCTAAGGCTGAAGAAAAATTTTGGGATATTTTATTTATGTTTTACAGAAGCAGACTTTTATACATTTCTTTGTTTACTCATTTATGCTGTTAGGTAGTTATTTTCTGACTGACGTAAAAATGAAGACAGTTTGACTATAGCTATGTTAAAGTTAGATATTTTGATTTATGCATTGAAGTTTGCATAGTTTAAAGTTCAAAGTCATGAAGGAAATTGCTTAAGAAAAAGATCCATCTCTTGGTAGTTGGGCGAGTTACATAGAGTCTGCTTTATTTTACAGTCGTGACGGCTACAGTAATGGCGGAGGAGGAGGTTTCCGAGGACGAGGTGGACCCCCAGGACGAGGGATAGGGCGTGGACGGCGGGGAGGCCCTTTTTCCGATAGTGGTGGACGCTCCTTTGAACGAGACGGTGGAGGATTTGGTCGAGACGGTGCAGGGTTTGCGAGAGAGGGCGATACCTTTGGACAAGAGCGTGCTTCGTTTGGGAGAGAAAGGACGGCTTTTGGAAGAGAGAGTCATGGCACCAGCGGAGGGCGCAGAGGAGGTAGAACATTGGGAATAATTATTATGATTATTTATAGAAATAATAGCAATTGAAACTTTCTGTACTTGCCATTGAAATAGTTTTGGCCTTAGAGCAAATCTTTATATCAAAGTCTTTTGAAATAATTCTTATGATTATTTATAGAAATAAAAATATTTCATACTACTTGAAATAGTTGCTGCCACAAGAGCAAGTTTTATATCCAATACTTTTAAAATAATTATTATGATAATTCATAGAAATAATAGTAATTGAAATTTTGAGTCATACTACTTGAAAAAGATGCAAAAAGAATATGCAGTTTTATATCAAAATCTCAGTTTTTCCAGTTACTGGTCTCTATTTCTGCATTGATTCAGTAGATATTTAGGCCCCGTTTTCCTGAAAGGCCAGTTTGCTAAAAACTTACTGGCTTTGACCAAGTTTGCTTGTTGTGAGATCTGAATTCTTAGATTAAATTGATATGGTAATGCTATTGTGATCAGGGTTGAAGGCAATCCATTTGTTAATACATCTTTGAGTCTGGTGAAATTATTTATTTTCTGTTGGGTCGAATCATCAAGGTTATTCCCGTGTAAGTCAAGAGGAGCTGTATGGCGAGGTGGACAGTTATGGTGGAGAGGCACACAGGGGGACGTACGACACTTATGTTAGTGAGAGCCAGACCAGACCTAGAGCGCCGCCTCCACAGGCCAGAGAGTACTCCTCCAGGGAGCAGAGGTCAGATATACTGCCTTGTAACATCAGCTGTACATTTTTGAAAATATTTGACTAAATTGTCTGCCCCCTCCCCTTCAACTCCCCACCCCCCACCCTCCCTGTCAAACTGACAAAAAGTCATTCAGTTCAATTAATTTGTCATTACTGTTGGACCTGATGCTTGTCTGCTTTAAAAAAGTTTTCAACATGTCTGGTATCTCCTGAGAACATTATTTCTGTGTGTTACAGAGACTATGGCAGAGGAATCCAGGATCTGGACTACAAGGCACAGGACTATGGTCGGGGAGCAAGGACCGCCATCCCCAGGGACGACTACTCCAGGGAGGAGTACCCCACGAGTAGGCGTGACTACCCAGCTACAAGGAGAGGCGAGCCTCAACCCAGAGGAAGAGAGATGTTGCCACCGTCAGCTCGGGAATACTCAGAACAAGGACGCGAATATGAACAGAGCAGCCGTGACTTTTCTTCAATCCGTGCAAGAGGGGTCATCCCGAGCTCTCGTGATTATGACGTCGCTGGTGGAGAGTACGTGGAGGCGCATGTGGAAGATTACGAGGCTGCCCCACCTGCTAGAGGGTACAGAGCCGCCAGGGAGTATGAGAATGGAAGCTCAAGGGAATATGGGGCCAGTGCCAGGTAGGTACAAGGCAGCTTTGATTGTGTTAGCTGTGATTGTGTTAGATCAAGGGAATATGGGGCCAGTGCCAGGTAGGTACAAAGCAGCTTTGATTGTGTTAGCTGTGATTGTATCAGATCAAGGGAATATGGGGCCAGTGCCAGGTAGGTACAAGGCAGCTTTCATTGTGTTAGGTTTGATTGTGTTAGCTGTGATCAAGATGAAATGTTAGTAGTGATTGTATCAGATGTAATATTGTTGGTTGTGGTTATATCAAGTGTAATTATGTTCCCTAGGATTATATCATGTAATTATATCAACTGATATTGTTAGCAGTGGTTGTGTTTGGTGGATTATGTCAGAACTGAATTTGTTTTGTGGATTTTGTGTATCCTGGCATTCTGGGGGTCATTTACAGACGTTCTTGCATGCTGCATAAAAATGTTTCCCTGAAATGTGCAGTGTTTTGACTATACTTTGTCTGAATTTTTATTTTTTTTTTTACATTGATCAGTAATTGATGTTCTATAATATTCCAGGGAGTATGCATCTTCCAGAGACCAATATGGAGAACGGAAAGCTCTCATGCAGGCTCCTCGCGCACGCCCATCTCTAGACGGTTACGGAAGGAGCAGTTATGGTAAGAAAGATTGAACGTGCTGAAGTGGAGGATAATTTATTGACAGGAAAACATTTCAGATTTATAACATTATTGTCAAATCAATACTAAAAAAGTACCCAATACTATTAAACTTGAACTAATTATAATATTTTGTTTCAAAATATGTCAATGGCAGACAAAGTTCCAAATAGGCATCACTTGTAGTTGAGAATGTGGATATTGAAGGTAAAAATAATGTAATTATTTCATAATTTTTTCCTAAGTATAAAGATAATCATGCTGGATTCTACAATGTGATGTGTAAGTGAACTTATTTTTTCTTAACAGATAAAGAAGATGAATACGAAAGCTATGATTCTGGTAAGTGCAAAGATAATTTTTGTATCCTACATGTGTTCAGAAAAAAGCCTTACACAAGACAATAATCTGAGATAGCCTTACATGAGACTGTCAGAACTGCATTATATCATATGAGACTTCAAAGCATGCTGCAATCGGTTTGGGCTGGGGTCAACTTTTTAGTGTAAGGCTTTTGTGGGCTTGGAATGTCGTCTAAGAGAACATCAAACTGACACCCAAAAAACAGCAATTTCATACCATTGTGTAATAGACTGTTGTTTGACAAACCTTGAGAGAAAACAACCAGAAAAATATGCTGATAAATAAAATCAGCCATTTTATTTTATTTCTGACCTAACTCTTCTCCAAGTCCTGCTCACTCTTCTGACACCAAGTCGGGATACTTGGACCATCTCAGATGATTCTCATTTTAACAGCATCCATATGTAACATCAACCAGGAGGAGAAAACAGATAACTTCTGATCAGCTTCACCTTTCAGTGATAGCCCAGGGTACAAAGTCATACAAATCGAAATACTTCACTGACTTTGACAACCCTAAAAGAAATATTTTAGTGACTAATTGGGTCACCATCAGACACTCTTTACAAGGCCTATGACAAAGAGGAGAAGCATATCAGTTCTAATTTAGTCCTCTAGTGTTGGGTATCCAGTGCGATTAGAATCAAGAATGTAAATTAAAAATATAAAATAAAATATATATTAAAGATAAGATAACAAAGACAAGGAAAATACCCCATGAAAGGTCTTGGGGTAAAACTGCAACATCAGTTTCTTGAACACTGAAATTAACCTGATGAGTTCCGGAATTTGATTTGTACATGTTCTTGATTAACATGCAGACATGAGTACAAGTACTGAAACATCAGGAACGGGGGACTAAAATTAACAAAAGACAACAAACTTCTGTACTCTTACAAGCATGTGCACTCTTTTGTGCACACACGCACGCACACACACACACACACACTCGTGAAAACAATTTCATGGTCCTGCAAGGCAAGTAATTAGTCACGCAATTTGAATGAGAAAATGTTGTTATTAGCTGTTTGAGTATATTTATATATTTATGACTTTATGTAAGTTACATTTCAGCATTGACCAATGCTTTCAGCAGTCTGCTCAGGAGGATTGGCAAACATTGGCCTTCTCTCCAGAAACAAAACTCCCTGTTTTATGATCATTTTATTTCCCTCAACTTGTTATATAACATATCAATCTAAAAAGTCACTCAGAAATGCAGATCTTTTCAAAGGCAGCTTAACTCACACAATAATCCACAACAACAAAAAGTGCAACAAAGAATTAATAGATACTGAACAAAAATATAAATGCACGAAACTAAAATGGTCAGTTGAAATGGATAATCATGAAGTATGCCCAGATTGATGGTATATTTGTGAACTGATGGATTTGTATTGATCAATTATAGTGGTCTGGTTTCACTTGGCTGCTCCCCGTGAGTATACTCAAAGGTTTAGTTTTTACACCCATTAGACTAATGGAGCATGACGGGGTGGAGGTCAATCTGCATGACCAATACACAGACACTCTACAGTCTAGGCAATAAAAGGACACACCCAAAATGTGCATTTCTATCACTTGTCAACATGCCACAGATGTCTGGAATCATCAATGCTGGCTTGTCGGTAACAGAAGTTGCAGCATACCTGAATGTGCATCATTCTAATGTCAGCCGTCTGAGAACACACTTCAAAGACACTGGTAGCACTAGGAACCACCCACATGCACCGACCACACGCGATATGTCGCCCATCAAACACCTGTGGAATGTTCTGGATCAGCGTTTTAGCCATCATGTTCCAGCTCTCAAGAATGTTCGCCAACTGCGAGTAGCACTCCAGGAGGAATGGGATAATATCCCTCAGGCCACTATTGACAACTTAGTGATGTCCATGCGCCGCTGTTGTACTGCTCTGTGCAAAGTTAATGGTGTCTGTGAACTCAGGATGTTGACCCCCATGGTGAATTTGATGCCCCAACTCTTGGACTATGCATTTAAACTTCCCCTAATGCTCTCAAAGTGATGTCTATTTGTCGAGAAAAATATGCTGTTATTTTTGGCTATATACTCTAGTTCCGTACATGAAAATAAATCTACATATTCTTTCGTGCATTTATATTTTTGTTCAGTATACATTCAGCAATGCTGCACCACATATTCATCAGAACATTCCTTCATAGTCATTAAAGCATATTAACAGCCATTCTACCTGATTACAATGGCTTGCCAAAGTGACGTACTCCATTATCCTATTCAACAATAACATCACATTATCCTATTCAACAATAACATCACATTATCCTATTCAACAATAACATCACATTATCCTATTCAACAATAACATCACATTATCCTATTCAACAGCGGCATACCACATTATCCTAAGTAGCAAACTATATATAACAATAATGTACACCATTATGCATTTTAACAATAATAGATCATGTTAAGCTATTCAATATTAACACCTCGTTATCCAATTCAGCAATCTCATACCACAACATCTTATCCTATTCAACAATGGTATATCACATTCTATATAACAAAATACCACATCATCCTATTCTGCAATATCATACCACATTGACAGTGACAAAACACATGGTATTCAACAATGGGATATCACATTGTAGGTTTATCAAGGACAAACCACATTATCCAACGTAACAGTAACATACCACATTATCCTTTTCAGCAATGACATATCATATTGTGCTATTCCATGTTGTTGTATTCAACAAACATGTGCTCCTATTATCCTATTTGATCTTGAAAATCAGCCAGTTGGCAGAACAATACAAAGGGTGCACCACCACCACCAGTATGAGGTTGGACAAATGTGAGGCACAGCCTTAAAAAATCATTATTATTATTATTATTATTATTGTCATTCGTAAGGGTGTATTTGATACAACATGGGCGTCGCACCTTCACCATCCTGGAGATCACACTTCAAACAATATGGCTGTCCTATCTCGCACAGTTTATAACTTGTCATTATGCTTTATTTTATATTTTCACCCTGTCCACTCAGGTTCCTCAAGGCCAGCTTTTCAGACCAGAGACCCCTACAGCTCAGGGAATGGGGCCCCTTCAAGGGGGCCAGGGTCATCCAGAGACCCCATGTCCCGCGGACCACCCCCGTCTTCATCCCTGGGGCGCCCCACCAGGGGTCCCTCCTCAAGAGGTCCTCCCACTAGAGGTCCCCCTTCACGAGGCCCCCCAGAAAGAGAAGGGGGGCTCTCTTCCAGGGATTATTTGCAGGGGGTGGCCCCCAGAAGATCCTCAGCATTCGGTGATGGACCCCCAGCAAAGAGAGGCAGAATAGAAGGTGGGCACCCCAGTCGTGGGGGGTTACGTGGTGCCAGTAGGGGTGTCCCCTCTAGAGGGGGTGCCCCCAGAGGCCGAGGGGGTTTCGGCCGCGGTGGAGGCTTAATGAGGCATTAACTATGGCACTATGAGGTGAAAGACTTGAGTTGGAGTTTGTTGTCCACTGATGTTTCTACAGCTGAGAGAAAAATTAACACTTCCTGGAATGAAAACTGCTACAAAAAAACAACACTTGAAAGAAATGAAAATCTTATCAAAGATTTTAAAAAAAAACACTGAAAAGTTCATTGTTATTGTTGTAAAACTTCAAAAAGAAAGCCAGTTGTTGAAGAAGCAGAGCAGTAGATATACACATTCTGAAATTTGAAGTAGAGGCTTTTAGCCACAGGAGGCTTGCCTTTGGATATACCCAGATGATGTATAACACTTTCTAGTTTTTGTTTTTTTTTATATGTGTTGTTTTTAAATATGTCACCACAGGGTACAATATTTCATAACATAAGTGTTTAATTGATGTTCTGATGATCAACTAGCAAATTCTCAGTCTCAGTTTTTTTTTTTTTTTTTTTTCTCTGGACTGAGCCCCAGAATATCAAGGTGCCAAGATTGAAAGGTTATTGTGTTTAAGATCCACAGCATAAATCTGATAAGTGATGGTCTCATGTATGTACCTCATCAGTCATGGACACTTAACAGTGATCAAATCAGCTTAAACAATGGATATTTCAACGTCATTGTCGCACATGGAAGAGTACAAATTTTCACAACATTGCAAGGGAAGCAAAATGGCACTTGTCTCTATCTTAAAAAGGATATTGAATTTATAACCAAACAATTCACCAGAACAGTGAATATGTTTCAAGAAAATTTTTCCCAATATGTTTTTTAAGGTCATTGATGATTATGGCCATAGAGAGCAGCCCAGCATATAATAACTTGCTTCAATTTCATTGGATGTTTTGTTCCAGCCCAGCATTAAAATTTTGCTTTAATTTCATTGGATGTTGGTGCCAATTCCTACCATTGTTCCAGGTTTGGGTCAATAACCAGCCTGTTGTTAACAGTTTTATACAGCTAGTCATATTAGAACACTTACAGAGAAGACTTCAATAAACTCAAGCAGAGATGTTTTTATAACTTGAAACAAAAGATTTTATCAAACGCAATTTTGTTTTCTTTTACCCTCAGTGTATGGGTGAAAGTTTTTTGTACAGAATGACTGCAACTTTTCTTGCTTTTTTGTATTGAATATATTTTCCAGGATATTGTGTAATAAATGACCGTTATCACCATGACATGACTGAATTATGATTGCATACTTGACTGCAATTCTCAGTATGTTGTAATGATTGCAGCTGCCCACAATCTGCATATAAAGATAAAGATAGCAGTTAACTAGAAACCACATTACCATTGTCAACAAAATTATAATTCTGCAAAGATTTTTTTTTTCTAATCTTGTCACTACTAGTAATTAAATTATTTACTGTTCACTTGCCATGTTCCCAAAGTAAGAAGATAAATGGTTTTTGTGTAGGTTGTTTTTGAAAAAAAAAAAAAACTTCAGTCCACATTTTATCTGTTGTGGAAAAAAGATGTCAAGTGATACTTTCCGATGTAAGATATATCCCAGCAGGCTATAAAATAATTACAACAGAGGTTTTGGCATGATTTGCTGTGACACAAATTTTATTATTTACAGGCTTCAAGGTGATACATAACATGCACACTTGCAACATACACACATACACACACACATCAAAATACACTGCAACACATTTCCAGTGGGGATCTTATACGAAATAAAATGTGATGCTAATAATATTTCTTCATATGTGTTTAAAGCAGGGATATGCTTTTTCAGACCTACCTGGACTCCTGGCCATTTTCCAACTTTTTCACAAAATGACTAATCCTTGTTAAAGTTTTTGATATCTATCATATGTTGATTGCAGTGCTCTTGTGCTGTTATGACATAAAAGTTTTGTAATCGGACTGTAAAATTCCATCATTCTATATTGTTACATCATTACACGAAATACTTAAACATCATGGTAAATAGATAAAATGATTTATTATAAATTATGTGCAATAAGGTTTTCTCTTAGTTTTGGCAATTGAAATTGTGTCAACCATGGGGGATTGCTTTATTATCTTTAATATAATTTATTTAAGAACATAATTTATTTTCAAACCCCAACATGTGCACATACATACAAACTGTTGTCAGTCAAAAATGGGATAACAGTACATCAGAACAACTGGGAACAGAACAGAATGAATGATATATGAACAGAATGATATATGAAAATGATTTTGACTAAATCCCATAAAAAAGAACTTTTTACATTGGATATTTATCAAAGGCCTGCAAATATAAAATAGATAGATTGATATCTGAAAATGCATGTTTAAACTGAATAGCCAACTCACATAAAAGATGTAATTTTTACAAAAAGAAAAAAAAGGAAAGAGGACCAATATATCAAATAACTCTTTGTGATTGGACATATCACAAACATCTTTCTCCAGATGACAAATACAGTTCCCCTCACCCCCCTTTAGCTCCCATGTTCAGCAAATACTTGTTTTAAATTTTGTCAACATGACAGAAAGCAAAGTCATCCAGTCGCCAGCAGAGCCAGTAGCAAGCATAAGGAAGAACTTATCCACACCCCTAGATCCAAGGACAACAGATTCACACAGGAAGGTATCAATGTCTTTTGAAAATGGTTGTTCAAACTTTTCAAAAACGTGATTTTCACTTGGAGTGGTACTAAGCATTGACAGGTATTTAGTTGATGTTTGAGATGATCTCAAACTTAAAAACTATGTTTTGACAATTTGCAAACATTTTTGTAACAATTTTTAATAAGCACAGTCACACATGAGAACAGAAAATGATCAGGTATATTTATATTCAGGATATATATTATCTGCTTCAACAAAACAAAAAGCACTTTTGAGAGAAAAAAATGTGCTCTGAAAAATTGCTCTTTACAAAGCACATCTAACACTGAGCAGCATGAGGAAAGATGCATGATTTTTATGAGCTTAGATATGTTCACCAAGCCAGTTCACAAAAGACCAAGTTAACAGAACATAACTTGTGTTGACACAATGTATTTTAAACCATTTTGCAAATGACATCTAGAGATGAAGCACAACCAGTGACACAAAATCTTTTTATATTTTATTCTGAACTCCAAAAATGACACTTAACCTTTAAAATCTCAAGACATTCATCTATAATTTTCCAAGTTTTTTTTCTGCTAGAATGCTAACATGTAAAAGTAAAACTGAAGTTCTTTGCACTCATTTTTTCTTATTTTGTTAAAAGGAAAATTTGAATAAAAGGTGCATTCTTGGACACCTGTACTACTGCCCATGGTGAACAATACCAGTATGTAAAGATAAACATTTGGCTTTATATTTCTTTTGACCTCTGGGTAGTTGAGAAATCCAGAAATATCATACCCTGATGTGCAGAAGAGTATGTGCAAACATCTGCAATTTGCCAGTAACATGTCCATTTCATGGCTCTTATATATATATAAGCATTTTTTTTTTCGAATCATGGCATTTCTATAAACAAAATTTGGTATTTCATAGACCCCATTCCCAGAGATTAGATCGATCCAAACTAGATCGACCTAACTCCCTGGGGGTTCACGCTAAATAGCTGTCAGCCGAGCAGGCACGAAAGTTAATTACCCCCTTACAGCTTGTAGTAGGCGGGACGGACATTTAAGCCGTATTATCTGACAGTAATCTAGTGAGACTCCCCACGTGGATAGATCGATCTAAATGTCTGGGAATACGCCCATAAACCCAGATCTCTTGACCTTGCATGTGCTACTAGTAGCAAATTGACTTTGATAACCATGACTTTAAAAAAATGATGTAACTTTTTTTTAATAATGTGCAATTTTAAATTTAACTTATCAGATAAACAGAAAGCTACTTTGAAAATAAAAGCCATTGCATAGATTATAAAGTTTTTTAATATGTCAAAAGTTTATTGAAAGTCTTAATAATTTTAGGATTATTACCTGCTGTCTGCCAAGGTTAATTCTGAGGGCAGATTTCAAGGGAAAAAGAACTCTTCATGCTCTAGGGGTTAGAAGAAGTCTGTACCTGGAAGGTATTGTATTTGTAAGTAGAATTGAATTTTCAATGTTTTAAAACAATTGTCACTTTAATGTGATAGGGGAATGGGTTGATTTTTAGGAAAGAAACAATTGCATATAATTTGGAATGCTGAAAGGATTTTATCTCTGTTATTACCGGGCAGGGGGTGAATTACATGTATTAATTGGGACAAGTGGTAATTTGGATGTCATTTAAAAAAAGAAAAAACTGGCATATAGTTATTTCCCAGCAGGCAAACGACATCGATTTTACGTTGATTCAATGGTGAATCAATGTCGATTGTCTGCTGGGATGTATATGACTCTGGCCAGATTTAACATGGGTTGTAGCTCCAGTGGTAAAACGATTAACAGACTACTGTTATGTCATGTGTTCCAGAGCTGCCATGGCCAGCATGAAGACCATCTGGATAATAGACTGGCAATTCGTCCACAGCCTCACACTTCACTGGATGTGGGACTGGACTGTGTGGCAGCAACACAGCACATTACATGGCATCGCCAACACTGTATTCTCCATGGTAACATAAGACATCTTCATTGCACCGTGTATAATAAGACCTTGCATGGCATCTCCAACATACTGTGTATGGAATCCCCTTGGTAACTTACAGGACGTCTTCATTGTAACTTTATGGCTTCTCCATGGTAACATAGGACATCGTGATGGTACCGTGTATGGCACCTTGCATGCCATCTCCAACACTGTGGGAACTTTATGGCTTATCCATGGTAACAGGACATCTTCATGGTGCTGTGTATGGCACTACCTTACAGGGAATGCTCATGATCCATGGTAACTGACAGGGCATCTTCATTGTACTGTGAATTGCATCTCCATAACACTCTACAGAACATATTCATGGTACAAGTATGCCATCCTTAAGGTACTGTGTATGACATCTCCATGGTAACTCACATGGCAGCATCATGGTACCTTGCGTGCCATGGCCATGGTATGGCTTGCTTATGACACTGTGTGGAATATACCATGGCTACAGAGAGAATTCCTTTCACTAGATATTTCTCTGGCAGTTTATTTGCACTTATCAGTACTGTGTTCAGCAAGAACATTAAAAAAACGGTGTCATGGCCCAGCTGACTTTTAGTAGAGAGAATTAATCTTCATGGTACCATGTGTGGAATTGTTTTAATATGGAACATAGTATAACCTCTCGGGTTATGTGTATGTGTCTACTCCACATATATACCCGTACATTGTGAAGGTGTTATGACACCACTTTGACTGGCAGACAGACAGAGTGTAGTGGTAGGCAAAAGTTGACTCCGGGAAATTGGTCATCGTAAGCCTTGACATTGTCACAATTGCTGGTGGTCAAATTGATAGTGACTGACTATACTGTAAAAATAGAAAGCTTGACTTTATAGAAAACAGACAGACACCCAGTCTTCAACAGAGCCAGTGGCAAGGGAAAGCTCCAGTGGGATTATGCCTTTACCATGTTGCAAGCGCGTCATCACGACTTTCTCTCTTCGTGCAGTGTACCCGTTGTAGTTTAGGCTTAGTTCTTTACATTGTGATATTGTTTCGGCCATTTCACTGTTTATTATTTAAACGTCATTGATTGTGAGAAAAATTGAGTGAGGGAGCGTTTCATTTTTGTTTTTATCAACCTATACCTAACTGAAATTTCGATATAAAAAATTAAGTTTCTTTGGATTGTGCTTTAAAATGGTATGTACATGTATTCTTTTAAAATATTTATAAAACTTCTGTGTGATGTAAAGCAAATTTTTTTTTTTTTCAGAAATAAAACCCGTATTAAAATTAATATATTAATGCCATCTAGGAAAAGCGTCACTGTTGTGATAGCCCGACTACATATTGGACATAAATTTATTATATTGTGTACTTGACGTTTGACTACGTATCTAGATATATGTACCATCTTCAGTTACACGCTTATGATCAGTCACTCTTGGACAAATGGGTTCGTTGGCTGGGAATTAATTTTTCATTTATTGTTCATTTGATCATTATTATTTGTTTATTTTATATATATATATATATATATATATATATATATATATATATATATATATATATATATATATATATATATAATTTATTTATTTTATTTTTTTTTTTGGGGGGGGGGGGAGTGCAATCTTGGAGAGCACTTGAAGGTCTACAAAAATACTCCCAGGAAGCCTACTTGCAAGCCGGAATACTCATCCAGACACTCACTGGATGAAAGGGGGAAAACCTCTGACGACCGGACTGGGAAAAAGTACGTAAAGGACTTGCACTTATAATGACCGATCCCAAAAACATATTCAAATGTCTCGAAAGCAGAAGGGGAGGTAACACCCCCCCCCCCATCCTCCCTTAGCCTACGACTCTGCAAGATCCTAAAACCTTTTGACCAGATCTGATATTTTCGCAATACAGACACTATCTGCAAAGTTTATAACGTATGGTGACACTGTTTGCAAAAAGCAGCCTGCAAACGTACGCTTCCCATCGCGTTAATCTTTCATCGTACAATTCTATATGAAACTGCGGGTTCTGAATTATTTGAAGAGACATTGGTTTGTTTTGCTGATTATCCCATTCTCAACTGAGGAACCAGCTGTCAGCCTGGCGTCTTATATGATATTATTTACCGATTTTATACAGGGCTTCCTATAGAAAAGACTTCATGTCTTTTAAAACGCTTGCCGTATAAAGGTAAAATGTTCACTCCATGCGCCTGCTAGTCTCCGTGAACAAGTTATACGTCCACTCGGAAATTGTATGTAAATAATAGAAGCATCCAATTATTAATGCGAAACAGGATTTCAATTTATTTGATAACAGGAAAATCTGATGATTACAAAGAAAAGCTATACCACCACGAAACACAGTAACTCCTGTAGACGTAGCAGCAGTTCGACGAGCTCTCTGTCCACCTTGGTCGATGTGAAGTAAAAGTAGATGGAACGAATTTTTAAAGTTCACTAAAGAAATTCTGAAAGAAACCAACGTGGAAAACAAGCGTACAGGTAGTAGCGTATATCGTTCTGGAGTAAGTCTCGGGACTGGTGCCACGTAGCCGGGATAGTGCTGATATGGCGCTTCTTCTGCAACACAAGGGGTGAGCGCGTGCAAGTATCAGGGATGATTTCCGGACGTAATTTTTCTCTCTGCCACAGCAGTAATTTTTGACATGTGTGCACGTATTTGTCGTGAAACCGGGAAATCGTAGGCCTACCTGTAAACAGAAACTCTGAAAGCTAGTATTGACCAGGTTGTGCTGAAACGGAGAAGCGTCCTGATTTTTGATAGGTTAACCCGCAGTTTAACCTGCAAAGAGAATCTCTTTAAGTCTAGTATTTAGTGATTTTGAAGGAGCAGTGTCGAGTATATTCCAATACCTTCAACTGTGATAAAACATCAAGGACGAAAACTGTGTGAAGAGAATGGTCGAGTGAATTTTTTAAAATAGGCCTACATGAAATACACGCATTGTGCAGCGTTAGCGTTGTTATTATGTACAGCGATAGACTCGTACAGAAAATGGACTAGTCGTCTATGACATCAGGCATTAAGGGACTTGGCTCTTAGACTAACAAACACCAGGAAATACACGCCTTCGATATCCACAAACGTAGCCCTGGAAAATCCCAAGACAGTTCAGACTATAGTTAGCAATGGTGCGATGCAGTAGGGTCGCTTTTCGGATCTTACTCTCTTGTCAGGTAGTGGTGGCTGTGTATTTTATAGTGCACTTGGAAGATAAAACTCGTAACACGAGTAGACCGCTCGCCACTGGAACGGGGAATGTGTCAGTTCATACGACAAGAAATCTCAAGAAGAAATTTCATCCTGAAAACTCTACTGGTGCTGTCGTAAGTATCAATCTGGGGTGACTTGAAGTCTAACATATTTATTTTCTGTGGTTCTAGGCCCGACTGCAAACATAGACTGGGTTCCCATGCCTAGATCGATCTAACTGTATGGATCCATCTCCAAGGGGTTTCTCGCTAAAGTACTAGATGTCTGGCACGCCTACTGAAGCTGCTAAACGATAGTTAATTACATCAAAGCTGCTTAGGTTGATTGCAATTTAGCGAGAATCCCCTTGGAGATACATCGATCCACTGGTAGTACGATAGGGTCTGGGAATGGTCCCATAAACTCTGTAAAATTTATACTTTGAAACGATATTTTAGACCAATTGTACCCCTTAAGTCAGTTGTTGATCCGTATTGTTTGAAGGCTGAAAGTTTTACAGTGTATTTGATAAGATAAAATACAGTGCCTCCTGTATCTTGTTTATCTTGTAGTGTTTTCAGCCGTGTTTCGCTTAATGCATATAAAAATACATATAAAACATCCTATAATTACTACCAGTACAATGGCAAATGATGGTAAAATGAAACCATATTAAAATGGAAGCTACCGCTTTTTCAGGACAACCAAACCACGGTCCAATCCCACCTTTCAGAGTGGCAAACACATGGTTCTCTGTGTTCGGAATCTCCTGAAAAACTAGGTAAGTCAGCAAAGAAGTAGGCCCTATTTTTGAATAATCAAAAAAAAAATAAATAAATAAATAAAAAACTAAGCCAAAAAAGGACGTTGGATGAAAAATGTCAGTGTTGAAGTCCTACACTTAAGCATGTTATTTGAACCACCTGTTGTCTTCATTGACCTAAAAAAAATTGAGAGACTTCTGATGACTTGTAAGGATTCAGAGGCAAAAGCACGATACCGGTATAAAGATGCCATTCAAAAATCTCCTAGAGATAATGGGAGATTGAATATCTTCAACATAGGCTTTCAGGTTTAACAGAGAGTTCTGTGATCAAAAACTTGAGACTGTGTTGTAAAGTAACACATAGTTCGACCATTAATACTTAGAACATGTATATTATAACTTTAGTTAAATTGATATGTCTAAAATGAAGGGAATTTGATTTACGCCGAATAGACACACCTGTGTCCAAAAGAAATCTAGATTATTATTATTATTATTATTATTATTATTATTATTATTATTATTATTTACGCCCCTGGTCAATATCTCATTCCAGTTGGTCCCCTAAAAATTGACTTGTTTCCCGTTCGGATGGCAGAAACTAGTGGTGAAAACCACGATGTTGAACTCGGAGGTCACTGGTCCCCACGTGACTGTTTAGCTAGATCTCGCGTGATTATAATTATACCTTATAGGGACAGGCTAGATCACCTCAAGAGATGGCTACATCATTATCATCCCATATTGAAAAGGCAACTTTTGGATTATAGGGTAGTGGTCACTGAACAGGTAGGGATTAAAAAATTAACAGACTTTGAAAAGAAAAATTAATTTGAACCGTCATGCTTGCTAGAGGTTTTAACAACATTCCTTCAGGGCACTGGATTATATCGTAGACTATACTATATATATATATATATATATATATATATATATATATATATATATATATATATAAAGAGAGAGAGAGAGAGAGAGTATAGGCTACGATACAATTCATTGGTAGAATGTTGTTAAGATTCTACAAAGGACCGTTAATTTATCAACAGACTGATTTCAGCTCTAGATAACTGTTTATTTATTGTTATTAACTTTATTTATTTCTTTATTTATTATCTGACATTGTTTTCAGTACGGAAATGGAATATTTAACAAAGGTAGAATAATGAATGCAGCATTTCTAGAATGTAGGAAGGCTTACCGGTTCGACTGCGTTATCTTCCACGATGTTGATATGTTATTGGAGAATGACCTCAATATGTACGTGTGTGGCAACGACACCACACCTAAACACCTATCGCCAGCTGTGGACCAGTTTCACTATAAGTATGTTCAAGATGTGCATTTAACCTAGTCTTTTATAGTAGTAGTGAATCTCAACTAACACAATCATATACGTCCATGGCAATAACATTGCAGTGAGCACAGTAAGCACAATATTTCAGTAAACAAACAGTCATGCGTCACAACTAATGCAATCTTAATCCACACACTGCGTTTTACACCTATTAACACAGCAAACAAAATGATTTAAATTTCAGCAATTCCCACATAGGGATTTCCTTTCCTTTTTCTACTTTTCGTAGGCTTGTGCAATACAAGGAAGAGCTAAATGCCTTCATGATATAAGTTAAAATCATATGCATCCATAAGTTCCTTTTTGCTTCTAATTTTTGTTATCTTTCATGGTATTTCAGATTATTTTATCTTGGTCTCGTGGGAGGAGTGTTAGCTATTCCAGTTAACACTTTTGTGAAGGTCAACGGGTACAGCAACCAGTTCTGGGGCTGGGGAGGCGAGGATGACGACATGTGGGAACGGTAAGTGTATTGGAAAGTGGAGATGGCAACACGTGATCTTAAAATCATAAATGCACTGATAAAATAAGCTGGGAAAGCCTTGCTTTATGATGTAAATCCACCTGTTGGGTTTTTTTTTTCAAAAATATATTTTCTCAATAAATTGTCTATTTCCTGACCTCAGTTGACATAAAATTCCTTTTTTAATTATTTATTTATTTATTTATTATTTTTTATTTGTTTATTTTATTTTATTATTATTATGTATTTATTTATTTATTTATTTATTTATTTATTTATTTTATTTGTTTTTTTATGTTCCGATCTATAGCCAACACTGCTGGCCACGCTAAAAGCCGCCTTATTTCTATGGAATGGGAGCTTTCAGAACAAGTTTATCTCGTATAATCACATACTATCATGCTTGCACCATTGCAGTCTTGTTGTACATTTCAAGATTTTTGTTTTTTAGATTTGTCGCTGTGAATGCCACAGTGAAGAGACCGCCCCTAACCATAGGGCGCTACACCATGAATAAACATGCCAGCAGAAGAGGACAGGCCAACTACACCATGATGTAAGTATGTGTGATGTGAATACAGCCTGAATACAGTGGTGATAAATGTGTCAGTGTGGTAGGTGTGGTGCTTTGTAACAATGAATGTTTCGCCTTTACTTATTTTTACAACAGTATTTGTAAAACTTAATTTAAAAGTATTTTTCCTCAGATCAGATAAAGGCTATTGCTATATGGTCGTGACTGTAGAGTTTTACTCTAAGCCTATACTACATGTATGGCCCATCAAGATAATCTCTTTAACTTATTAACCTTTTCAAGTTTTGTCGGAACGCTTAAATATCACTTTACTATACCCTGTTATTTTGATGGGTTGAATGCCCAGAGTCCATTTCAATAACTGCATGTCACATAAATCTCTTGAAATTTTTCCAGATATCCACTTTTGAAGACAAGTCGGTCAAGGATGAGAAGTGACGGACTGAACAACATCAGTTATTCATTGGTCACCGTGAAACTTCACAGACTTTATACACATTTAGTTTTCGATGTCGACACCAGCGCGTCTTGACTAGATTCGACGATGAGCAGTTTGCGCCACCTACAGTGTTGTTTTTAAAATTATTGTTATTATTATTATTATTATTATTATTATTATTATTTGGTCTTGAATATGACTTACAAATAACGTACCAGTGGATGAAAACAAAAATGCAATAAATTCACAATTTAAATGATACGATGTCAAATATAAAGTGCCATTTATACTTGCCCACAGTACAATATGCGATTGTGCAGGTGTAGAAAATGACAGATGTCCTGTTTGAATTTTTAAAAATTATTGAAGTAATCCATCTCGAAACAGTGGAATGAACTGTTACAGCATATGCGTTAAACTGTTTATATGGATCTTAGCACCTTGTAAAACCAAACTTAAAGTTTTCTCTTTTATGTATATATATTTCATGGCAATTGATAATTTTAGTCAATATAATTCTATTTTGTGATTTTAAAATGTGTACTTTGATATTTTAAATTGAATGTCTCAATTCCCCATCTTACTATTATGCATAGTGCTTAGAAAAAGACGAAGCTTTGCGTCAAAATGCATTATTATTTCTTTTGTAAAAAGTGATTTAAGTCGTAATCTATTAATTAATTAATGATTTATATCTTGTTAGGTATTATACTGTCTGTTAAAACAAAATGTAAGTTGTAGACGATTTTTTACTGAATTTTTGGAGACTGTCGGGAATGGACCAAGTAGCAAACGATGAGATATTGGTGATTATCCATTAGTTTTCATCACTTAATTGGTAATTAATAAAGTAATTAAAAAAGTATTTTGTGTATTAGCATTATTATGGACGGATTTTGCTAAAGGTTCGAGGATATGTAAATATAGAATATATTCTGGTTGTCAGGGGCCACTAATTTGTCGATAATATTTTAAATATCTAGATATTATTCGTAAATATGAAGTTGGCAGTGTGAGTTGACACCTGATAGTCTTTGTATTATTGTAAAAAGTACCTTTCGATAAAATTCACTCATTGGAAGTTCAAATTTCATAGTCCTTGTTTCAAGCCTGGTAATTTTGTAGATCTAGATAATTTGCACTGAAGTCCTTGTGTGTGTCCACCTTCAAAGGTGGACATGGGTTGAAAGTTGCAAAACAGTTTCTGATTTAGTTAATTGACATATTTTTTCACACCGTTGTGTATAATAATCTAAAAACTTACATTGAACTGGTGGAGGGGTTTTGATTGAAGCCGCGAGGTTTGACCTTGACTGTATCGCATAACTTAAAAGTATAGCAAAATATATTTTGTTGAAGTTTCAATATGGAGTCCTTTCATTCTTTTCCATGTGCAGAGTTTAAGACGCAGGACCTTGCAATCTCTGTTGCAGATTTAGGGATCGCGTTATCCAAAGGCGAGAGCCTCCACATGTGGGGCGTGGCTTTTCAGGGTTAATATTTAAGGATATTTTATATTATATCTGGAAAATGATAAATAGGGCCTCGACAAAGTTTAATGCTTAATTATAACATCGGGTAATAATAAAAAGGGTCCCGATAAAGTGGCTTTGCTCGCCTTGGTCTTAAATTTTCGGCACAGGAAGTAAGGTTTATTCATGTATGCCGTACTGGACCTCAGGAGTATATCCTGACGGAATTGTGACGGAAACGCAGGGACAGGTAGAAAGGAAAATGAGATCAAAAGTGAAGAAAAGGTTAATAAATACTGTATCGTACCTGTAAGGTGCCTGGAATTGAAGAGGTTCTGTAAGGATAATTGCATACTTAAGACGTAACTAACAACTAGATATATGCGTCTCTAAGAAAGTAAAAAAATTTTCTTGAAACAAATTGAAACAGGATTTAAAATGCACTCAATGTAAAAATTTCTAGTAAATTTTATATTAAATACATTTTTTTCATGATTTAGTATATTATTGTAGGTACAATGATTGCACAGGCAGTAGTAGCAGCACAACTAGCACAATCTCAGTCTCTCCACTTATAATTTGCATAAGTGAGAAGTAGTTCACCTGACCTGCTAGCCTTTTCATTTTGGCAGACATTGGAAAGTAGTGAGACAGGCAGGACCTCAGCTTAGGAGACCTTAGAAGATAGCAAAAAAAGTAAGCATATGACATTTATGTAATTATTTAAAAGTAATGTTATTCACACTTTATTGTTACAGTATTAGTGTATGTTTAAAATTAGAGAATGTACTGTAGTTACTACTAGTAAGTGTTTGGTCACACAATAGTGTTTCAATAGTGTTACAATAGTGTTGGCAATATCATATGTAAGTGACTTATTCTACAGAGCCATTTTTATCTCAAATTCATTTAGGTTTTAACATGTAAAGTGAATGAGACTGAGTGTACATAATCAACTTATTAAAGAAATAGGGAGGTAATGGTAAGTTTATGTTATAACAATGTATAATTGCTTTGTTGGATGTGCATGTTCCCAATGGGTTTAGTCGTGTGTGTAGAGCTAACTGGATGTGTTATCAAAAACAAGCTGTCAAATTTATGAAATGACAAATATGTAGCTTTGTGTTAATGAGGAATTGGCTGCCTTTAATAAACAGTGTTTGGAAAACGTATAATAACATGTAAATTTGATTTGATGAGATTGTATTATGATATATTTATTATTTATTTATTATTGCATTTTGTTTTCCTTTTAGTTTCACGGTTGTTTGTTGATTCAAACAAGAATAAAGAATACAGTACAACCCGAAAGCATTGCTTCTTGTTACCTGTCTGTCTACAATTATTATTATTATTATTATTATTATTGACCCACCGTGGAGGAAGTCTGCCTTCTCTTAATGCTTTTCCAATTATTATTATTTTTATGAAGGCACCATCAGCATAATGTGGGACCTGTATGGTGACGGCACTTAAATAAAGTATAAAAACGTGTAGTCAGCGTTCATGATATACAGCCATATCCCCTTACATTGTACAGGGTCGCGCGTATGGTTCGTATGAAACGTGTCAACGGCAAAACCCATTAGGTTAACTATATATTGATTTTGAGATAAGAGAGCGTTCGGTTTGATGTTGTGTCCTGAGCGGCGATAAATTAAACCGATATGGCAGGTTACACTGAACGACTATAAGCATATACAGAAATAGAGGAGATTCTCGCTGCTGTGGTAGATAAAATTTGCCTATACTTGAACAGTAGAGACGGGAGTGTTGTAGATCCGCCAAAGTGTAACCCGGATCAGGTCAGGATTTTACAGTGCTCGGGAACAATACGGAAGTTTAACAAAAGGTGAAATTTCAGAAATGGTGAAAAGCACCAATAGGCGTTGCTCTCATGAGGAGAGAATTCCCTACGTTTGAGTTGACGGAAATCTGCTAACTAATGGAGAAGTACATGAGACAGGTGGTGTTGGCATCGCTTGTGTTTTTATCGGTGTATGTAATATTGTACTTGATGGTGCGACATGGTGTCCTGGTGGAGACGAAAGGACGAAGAGCTGTCCTAGTTAATAACACGATGAATATTACTGATTGGATTATCAGTGAAACGACTGCGGTAAGTACGCTTCATGCCCCCCTCCACCCCCAAGGAACCCACCTGCTTGTCTCTACATGTGACTGTCTGTCTTTGTATCTGTCTGTCTGTCTGTCTGTCTGCCTACCTGTCTGCTTATAGTACCTGCCTGTCTGTCCGCATCTCTCTCTCTTTCTCTCTCTCTCTCACACACACACACACACACACACACACACACACGAAAACAAGAAGAGTTTAATTGTTTGTTAGTCAAAATGTATTTTCTTCTCCTTTCAACCCTGTATCACCCTGAGCTTCAGAGCTGACTTGACACTAACCTTTTCACTGTAGCCTATACTTGACACGATGGAGATAGGCTACAGTGAAAAGGTTAGTGTCAAGTCAGCTCTGAAGCTCAGGGTGCCCTGTATCTACTCGCCTCTATACGTTGCCATGTAGTACCGTATGTATATATTTCGTTCAAGGCATTTGTATGGAAGCGTATAAGTGCCACAACACACAACAAAATCACTCAACACACAACACAATTTCAACACGACACATTTAACTTCTCAACACAACACCAAAGAAAATCGCAACACAACACATTAACTTCTCGACACAACGGGAATAGATGGCACTTTCGGCGTGGACGCTTGGAAAAGCCGCAAAAACTCACAGAACGATTCTGTGATTGTTTCCTTATTTTCTCAAGGCATTTATAATAATGTGTCACTTTTGGGTCCAGGAAAAGCGCACTTTTGAAAACATTGTATTACAGAGAAGATTTAATATCAGATAATCTGTTGTGCATGTTGCATATTCTATGCTCTGTGTGTGTGTGTGTGTGTGTGTGTGTGTGTGTGTGTGTATTGAGGGAGGGGGGGTATTGATGTTGAGAGTATTGAAGCCGGGGGATATATCGTTACTTGTTCCTGTGCTCACATAAATTGAAATTCTAATATTGTAAATGCAACATAAACATTTGATAATCAATGCAATGTATCTTATCTAAATAAATTAGTACAGTAAATGTATTCTAACACTTGCAATTTTGCTCCTTATGCTTGTAAGCATGTAATCTCGAGGGGTGTTCTATATAATTAATATATTAATAATAGCATAAAAACATTAAATACTTTTAAAAATAACATGTTTTCTATCTGGCTGTTACAATATTGGAATTTCAGTTCATGTGAGCACAGGAAGTTTTGTTTTCTTCAGTTAAATTTGGAAGTGTCAAATAGGGTATATGCAGTGTCAAATAGAGCGCTGAAGTTTCGTTTTTTAAAAACGATTCTAATGCCCAGAAACCAGAGTCGTTTTTCGAAAAACGATTCTGGCAGCCAGAAACTAGTGTCGTTTTTCAAAAACGATTCTGAGAAGCCAGAATCGTATCTGCGGAGAGAAACAGGGGTGGGCGGAGGGAGAAGCAAGCAGCAGTGAGCGTATACCGCGACTAGGTAATTACCCTCATCGCGAAAGCCGGGCAGGTTCTTACGGTATCTCTTCGACGTACGCTGAGACCGAGACGGTCGCCGATTTTTGCCTACGGGGTACGGGCAACCCTCATCGCAGAAGCTTGCTAGGGTGTTTACTGTGTTACGGTCTTTCCTTGCCGCGCTGGGAGGCCGAGTTGACTGNATTTTTAATTTTATTGAATTTTTCAAAAACGATTCTGATGCCCAGAGACCAGTGTCGTTTTTCGAAAAACGATTCCGGCAACTAGAAAGTAGTGTCGCTTTTCAAAAACGATTCTGAGAGAAGCCAGAATTGTTTTTGCAAAGAAAAACAGGTAAGGGGTGGACAGAGGGAAAGGCAACCGGCATGCTACCGCAACCAGGTAACTCTCATCTCGGAAGCCGGGCAATGTGTTACGAACTCTCAGCGCCGTGTGGTGAGACGGAGACGCCCTCTGATAAGCGTCTACAGTGCACAAGTAGCCTTCACTGCGGAAGCCTTGCAGGGTGTTTAGGTTTTTGGGAGAAGGCGGGGTTGAGGGTTAGGTTGGGTTAGATGCCGAGAAACCAGTGTCGTTTTTTAAAAAAACCATTCTGGCAACCAGAAACTAGTTTCGTTCTTCAAAAACGATTCTAAGAAGCCAGAATAGTTTTTTACGGGGAGAAACAGGAGTGGACAGAGTAGAGGCAACGCGCGATTAAAGTCTACCGTGACCTGGTAACCTTCTCTGCGGAAGTTGGAAAGGGTGTTATACGATCTCTTTTCGCCGTGCGCTGAGACCGAGACGGTAGCGGTCAATGAAATGTCTTTTTTTAAAAAACGATTCTGAAAAGCCAGAATCTTTCTTTTTCAATAAAATTAAAAATGATCCCTTAAACTACAAAGGAAGAACCCTGGGGGCCCTTCCCCCTCCTCTCTCTCTTCCGCCAACCCCAACCCCACCAAAACACCCTTCACGGTTTTCGCTGTAAAGGCGGCCTGTGCCTCGTAGAGGCGGTCATCTAGTCTTCAGTGCACGGCGAGAAAAAATAACAAAACTCCCTGAATACCCTGCCCGGCATCGGCGGTGAAAGCTGCTTGTGCGCCGTAGGCAATGATCGGCGACCGTCTTGGTCTCAGCGCACGGCGAGGAGAGACCGTAACACCCTGTCCGGCTTTCACAGTGAGAGTTACCTAGTCGCGGTACACGCACACCGCTGGTTGCCTCTCCCTCTGCTCACCCCTGTTTCTCTCCGCAAAAATTATTCTGGCTTCTCAGCATCGTTTTTGAAAAACGAAACTAGTTTCTGGTTGCCAGGTTCGTTTTTGAAAAATGACACTAGTTTCTGGTGGCCAGGTTTGTTTTTGAAAAATGAAACTGGAAACTAGAAACTAGACACTAACTTCAGCGCTCTGTGTCAAATTACAAGTTCGGTGTTACTATTTTTTATGAAATGCTAGTTAATGAAGTACAGATGTGCATTGAATGTATAAATTGTCACATATGATATTGGTCGGTCGGAGTACAATTAGAACACTAGCTAAAGTTTTTAGATTATTTTTATTATTTTTAATTTTAATTAATTATTCTTATTTTCTGTAATTTTGGGTTTATTATTTTGTTTTAGATTCACGGTATACTATTTTTCAGGTCAGCTGATAATTTGAATGAACCTGTTACTGTTTATAAGTGTAGAAAATTTTCTAAAATTTCATAATTATCCACTAATATTTTCCGTCAAATCCGCACCGATTGTCCCCAGCTAATATATCCCCCGGTTTCAATACTCTCAACATCAATAATACCCTCCCCCCCCCGCCCCCCCCCTACACTACACACACACACACACACACACACACACACACACACACACACACAGCATAGAATATGCAACATTCACAACAGATTATCTGATATTAAAACCCCAAAGTGACACATTATTATAAATGCCTTGAGAAAATAAGGAAACAATTACAGAATCGTTCTGTGGGTTTTCGCGGCTTTTCCAAGACGTCCGCGCCGAAAGCGCCATCTATTTCCGTTGTGTCGAGAAGTTAATGTGTTGTGTTGCGATTTTCTTTGGTGTTGTGTCGGGAAGTTAAATGTGTCGTGTTGAAATTGTGTTGTGTGTTGAGTGATTTTGTTGTGTGTTGTGGCACTTATACGCTTCCATATGGTGGCTCTGTTCTCCCCCAAGATAAGCTGGTTCCGTAACACGGAAATAAACACCTGCTGGGTTCTGCTGCTTAGGCGGTATTTCCACCTGTTCCGCTTTAGTTTCAAAATGTCGAGATCAAATAAGAAAACTAAACGTTTATGGGAAACTCGTAATTTGCGAGTCTTGGTAGACATGGATTGTGTATTAGCGGATTTCGAAGGCTCTCTATTGAAAAAATGGAAAGAGCGGTATCCAAATGAACCGCACATCGCACTAGAAGAGAGAAGAGGGTTTTATGTTACTAAACAGTATGGAGATATACGCGAAGATCTGAAGGCGAGTGTATTTATATATAATGACCGTAACTGAAAAAAAGCAAAGGTTTTTTTAATGTCCTTTAGAAATCTTGGAAGATGCCATCCATCTAGATATGTACATGTACATCCTTTGTAAAAAAATTTCTCAATTACACACACATTGCTGATTGAGGTATAATTAAAGAACTGTATTTAAATAATTTTTTCTCTTGTTTTTAGAGTAAAATTATAGAAGTTCTTTCTAGTGAAGGGTTTTTCCGTGAACTACCTCCTATAGAAGGTGCTATAGATGCCATAAAAGAAATATCTTCCATGGAAGGGTAAGAAAAAGGACTCCTGCAAGAACAGGGTAAAAATTAGTCTGAGTAAAATTTGATATTTCAATTTATTATGATACTACAATCCCTTTAATCTTTAATCTTCTGCTTTTTGTATATGATTGCAATTTTTTTGGTCACAAACTTTTTCTAGGTGTGGTTTATATAACGATTGGTCAAAAACTATTTTTGTCCTGCCCCTCTCCCTCAGTTTTGCTTATGTGCATCTCTAGAAAAAAAAATGTTACATCATGACAAAAATGTGATCTGATGTCATGAACAAGATGATTCAAGGTGCATAACTGATTTAGGCCAAACAGAGAACATGGTTTAAAAATGAATACTTGCAAATTGTCAAAATATTTGTCCCTATGTCATAGGGTCAAGATTGCAAGCAGAAATTGCTCTGAAAATAATAGCTGGATTTTAAGGTGCTCTGTCAGAGGGACAACAGGCGCAAAAAAAAAAAAAGGGGGGGAAAAAAAAGAGATTTAGCATTTATACAGATTCGGTAATATTACTCAAGCCTGATTGTAATAATTTCTTTGTTATGATAAAGATCATTTTTCAGATACAGTCACATTCAAATCCATGGTTGAAATTGATTGGAGGTCTATTCAGTGCAATATTTATATATATTCTGATTATTTCAGTATATAATTTCAGAATTAAAGTGTTACTTTCTGTTATGATGGAAAGGGATAATTTGTCTTTTGCAGAGTGGAAGTATTCATATGCACCGCACCGTTAAAAGAATACCAGCATTGTGCGGTTGAAAAGGTATTAATGACATGAACACATATTTTAAGTAAAATTAGGCAGAAATATTATGACTCGTTGCAGATAACCTTGGATTCTCTCTCTCTCTTCTCTCTCTCTGTTTGTGTGGGTATGTGTGTGTGTTTATGTCATTGATTAGCTTTTTAACAAGTTTTATATTTTCTTTCATTGTTTTTCAGTATGAGTGGATTGAAAAATACTTTGGAAGAGACTGGCTAGCGCGGGTCATATTAACAAGGGACAAAACCGTCATCAGTGCAGATTTGTTGATTGATGATAGGACTGATATAACAGGCAAGTCTTGTTTTAGCCAAACTTAAATAATGAAAACTAAGTTGTCCTTACGAAAAAAAATTTCATTGATTTGTACACTGTATGAATCCTCACATGTGTCACAGATAGAACCAAAAGCACATTCACTCCAGGACCAGGGCAAAAGGAGCTGACAGTCTATTTCTGGTCTTATTTGGTCTAGTTCTGAACACACCTTTTGATTTTAGAGGGTAATTTATTTTGAAGGAATAGGCACACCAAAGCTGCTGTAGACTGGTTCAAATATGTTTTTTTTTTGTCTGTTGGTCAGTTTCTCTTGATGTCATTTTAAACAGATTCTCTCTGACATTTGTTTGCTTTGTTTGTTCACTCAGATTCTCATTCATTGCCTCCACCAACCTCATTGGTTTGTTTGTTACCTCTGCCAAGGAGGTTATGTTTTCACCCCTGTTTATTTGTTTGTCTGTCTGTTTGTCATCAACATAACTCAAAAAGTTATGGAACAATTTTGATGAAATTTTCAGGAACTGTCAGATGTGGGCCAAGGAACAGATGATTTGTTTTTGGTGTTGATCCGGATCAATAATCAATCAATAATCAGTAATAATCAAAAATTGCTGCCTTGGCAGAAGTCTGCACTCTCGGAGTGCTTTTCTAGTTAATGGGCAAGTTATCTTAACAAATTTTGAGAAAATTTTCATGATTGTCAGTTATTCAGGAAAGGAGGGAAAGGAGTTATTACAATTTCAACTGAATTCGAATCTCCTGTTTTTTTTTTGTTTTTTTTTTTCAAATGAATTTTTATTGTCTTTTTCCTTGGCAGATGTCCATGCTCTGCAGTTCCCAATTTAAATAATTCATTGCATTTCTCCAGGTGCTGAGAAGAATCCAAGCTGGAGACAGGTGGTATTTACAGCTTGCCATAACAAACATACTCCCTCTAACCTCCTGCCAAAACATTCAGTGAGGTTGGAAAGCTGGTTAGATTCTGACACTTGGAAACAAATTATTGAGGATGCTAAGAAAAAACTCTAGCAGCATATGTAGTCAGAAAGTTTTCATTTATGATAGATCCTGAAATTTGATTTACCTGTTGACTGTTTCGTCTGTTCACTCTGACAGACTTGGTCACAACTGAATTACCTGTTCAGGTGAAGGTGAACAGGTAATTACCTCAGTCTTGATGATGACTTATTAGTCCCTCTTGCCCCCTCCCCCTGGGGTGGGTTTGAGCATTTGGATCTGGTGTTGACTCTCTCACTTACGTTTTCCTTTACATCTTTCTTGTATTCATCTAGTCTTGTTTCTAATTTTCTTCCCGTCTCTCCAAAATAAACTGTCACAGCTCCCACACCTGATTTCATATACTATTCCACACTTCTTGTTGTCTTCTATCTTATCTTTTGGATGTACAAGAAAGTTTCTGAGTTTTGTGTGTGGTTTGAATGACACTCCGATGTTTTCCTTCCTCATTGCATTCATGATTTTCTCTGATATTCCTTTCACGTATGGGATTGTAACTTGTCCTTTGGATTTTTCCACTTTCTGGTCTTTCTTATTTTTGGATATCTTATTTCCTGATCTTTTCATTTCCATTTGATGTTTCACCTTCTTTATTGTCCATTTAGGGTACTTACATTGTTTCAATGCCTCTTTTATAATGTTTTCTTCTTCCATTCTGTCCTCTGGTTCAGTCACTAGTTTGTAACAGCGATCTAACAATGTTCTTACCACTGCCAATTTGTGTACTACTGGATGGTGGGATGTGAAATCCAGATACTGGTTGATGTGAGTTTTCTGTACACTTTGGTTTTTATGGACCCATCTGCTTTGACTATAATGTCTGTATCCAAGATTGCTATGTGGTAGTCCTTGATTTCTTCATTGGTGAATTTTATGCTATTCATCAAGACTGAGGTAAGTACCTGTTCACTTTCACCTGAACAGGTAATTCAGTTGTGACCAAGTCTGTCAGAGTGAACAGACGAAACAGTCAACAGGTAAATCAAATTTCAGGATCTATCATAAATGAAAACTTTCTGTCTATCAAAACTAAGATCCTATGAAACTATTTTCACATTAGCAACATATGTAGTCTGCTGTGTATGATTTGAAGGGACACAGTTAGTGTTACACATTTATTACGTATAGCAAAAATTTAATTCTCTCAGCATTTCAACAATTTGTCCTTAATCACAAAGGCATACCGTATCACACATTTTTTTGGGGGGCAGAATTACATTTCATAAACCTATATTTGAGTCACGCTTGTAATGGAAGTAGTGCATTTCAGTAATTTTGATACAATTAAGAATATAGAACTTCAAATGGGTTTTACAGTTTGTAATTTTCGCAGCTATTTTGGATATGGTATACCTTGGTGATAATGGGAAAATTGGTGAAATTTCTAGGAATTTTTATTTTTGCTTTTAAGAGGTCTACACACTGCTTAGCTTTCAAGAGAAAAACAATACATATGTCAATAGTATTGATGTAACAGGCTCTTTCATGCTTTACTGGTGAGGGTGTGCAAAAAAAAAAAAAAGAAAAAAGAACATTCATAAACCTGTCAAGTACAAGAAATGTGAGGCTTTATGTTAAGTGGCCAAATACTTTTATATATTGAATTTTATAATTTATAAAGCTTTATATATTGTAAAACTCAGATATTTTGGAATATTTTCCTTGCAAGTACCATGTTGTGCTTGTAATTTAGCTGAGAGAAGCATTTATTTTTAATACACATAGCCAACATTCCTTCATCATGAGACAAACAGATATAGGTTTTTATCATCAAGTAGGTTTTGGAAGTTAATCACTTTTAAAGCAGGTTTGCTCATTTTTAAAAGGCTTAGGGATTTTAGGAGGAAAGCTTTAACTTTTAAGTGGCACTTTCAGTATTTTGTTAATTCTGGTCTTAATAAAAACTAAATATACTTTGCAATATACTTTTGTTTTGGATGAAAAAGATGTGAAGTGTAGGCCACATTGTGACACTTTTTTTAAATTTTGTAACATTATACAGATTATATTGTGTCGCTAAAGAGGAATACTGAGTAAAGCTAGACTCAACATTAAAAAAATTAATTAGTTACATAATGATAATCCCTAAGTCTATCATTTAATCAAGTTTTGTTTTTATAACTTTCGACTATAAAGATGAAAGTGGGCCTTTAAAAAAATCCTGAAAATGTTAGCACCAAAGGCACTCTATATGGGAGGTCCATGGAAAAGTGGGTGGGTGGGGGAATAAATGCAACATTCAAATACAACTTTTATCTCAGACTATTTTGTAAGATTTGAGGGCAGTTTTAATTCTAAGATTAAGAAGAAATATGCAATTAAACAAGGTAAATATCTTTAACCATTTGAGGTTATTTGTGTATATGTTTGGTGTACTTGGTCACTAATTTTTCTGAAGTATTGTGTCCAAACTAGTCCATCTCAGTGCAGTCTTACATTTCAAATAGGATTTTAATGAAATAGAACATGTCTAAGCATGCTGGAGTTTCAGGTGAAAGCCTGACAGATTAATTGATTTTATGATGTACCATGGGAGATACCTGATATTAAAATTGGAAATTATCCAAATCAATATAAGTATAATTATAGTAATATTTATTGTCATACATGTGAGTGAATATAATAAAATATACATGAATAATAATAATAATAATACTTGAAAATATCTGGTATTGGAAGCAGTATTTAAAATGCATAGATCAAGGGAAAAAATCCTGTACATGACACCATCTTTTTATATTGCTGGTAGTCTCTTGACCTCTTTATCCGAAATATGAATCGTAATAATAACAACAATAACATATTATATATGTACAACCATAATAATTCTTATTTTAATGAGTGATTGAGATGAAGGAATTCTTGATATGCTATATTGCAGGTTCAGTGCATATGCTTGCTGAAAAGGTTACCCTATCTGTGCTATTGCATTCCTTATGTGACCATATTGCAATACTTCTAATACAGAAGTTGTATTTTAATAATGATTGCAAAATAAAGCTGGTTACTTTTAAATAAAATAAATACTTCTGGTTTATAAACATAACTAAATATATTCAGTATTTTATAAGAAGTTTTTTCCTGTCTTTCTGCAAGATATGCTGTAGTTTACATTTTGAATAACTTCCCTTTTCAGTTCTTTACAATACAACACAACTTGCTCTACAGAACTCAAAATAACAAAAATCAATCATTAGGTCAAAAAATAAATCATAACAGATATAATGGATATGACTGAATGTTCCATAATGATAAATAACAAATTATGAAATATAATTACTGGAATGGACTGAAAAAAGTTTTTGATTTTAATCTCTCAATTTGCACATCTTTGTAATTTTTATCAAATTACATAATCAAGTATTGAACTCTGTTACTTGAAAGTCAATTTATTTGACACATGATCTTACAATGGTGACAATTAAAACAGTTTTCTAAGAGGGAGGGGGGAGAAGTGTCAGTTGCTACTTCTGAAACTTCTTCATTCTCTCGGCAACACTCAGTCCAGATCCACTTCGTGGAAAATCTGAGATGACCCTGCCCTCAAAGTCTGACGACCCTCTCTTTCCACCAAGCAACTGACTAACTGGCATCCCGGGGGTACTTTGAGATCTTCTTAACTCTGAAAATATGTAGGAAAATTGAAAACTAAATGGGTAAAGAAGAAATATATTACAAGTAAGATTTTAAACATGATTTAAAACATACCACTGGTCGTGATCGATAGTTTGATGAAAATGGACAATACAACTACATCTAACACGACACACTTTCTCTTACAACATCAAAAAGGCCCACCATAAGCCTTGGAGGACCTCTTCCTGCCAGGGGTGCTCTTAGTGGGCTGCGGTGAACTCTCGTGGGGCTCTGGACTCGCACTGAGGCTACGGGGGCTCTTGGGCTCTAAAAAAATGTAATAAAGGTGTCATGGCCTTAAAAAAGTATAAATAATCCATTATCAGTACAATTTCATTTTTTTATTTGTTCTCTATTTTTTATTTACTTTTCGTTCTTTTTACAATTTAGAATTTAGTTTATATTCCTCTTTATGATCAAGACTAATTTGAGGCACATTGACAGGTCTAGGATTTGGCCAAGGGCTGGCGTGTGGGGCTCGTTGAAGGGTATAGGCATTTGTCCTCTATTTGAATTACATTTGAATTACAGGTTTAAAAATTTGTTTAAATTTTCCCTTTCATCATTTGACTGCTTTATGCATTTTTTAAAACAAACCTCTTCTGTTCCTTTCCCTTCCTCTTGATCTTGAACTCTCTTCTCTCTTTTTATCTCGACTTAGCTTTTCAAAGCTTTCTTTCAGATTGGCCAATTCCAGTTCGTGATTTGCCTTCTCTGCTTGAAAGTTGGTGTACAATTCATTATATTTGTCAGCAGTTTCATCTTGTGCCTGAAACAATTAACAAAACATCATACAAATCTGCTAACTAGCACCTATGTATGTATCTACTTAAAAAAAAAAAATCTTTGCAAAATCCAGCATCATAGTAGCGAGTATAAATATTTTAGAAATACCACATTATCCAACTCTTAAACAAATCAAATCACTGGAAGCAAAGTGGCAGATGGCTGGTATGATTCAGAAGAAGTTGTTCTTAGAGCAGGGCATCCCTACATCCCCAGGACTGGCTAAGGAGAAAAAGATTTTTAAGTGGTCACCAGATGTTTTTATTTTTACATTTCCTTTTTTCAACCTTAATATCTGTTCCTTACATCTTCAGCCTCCTGTAGCTGGTCTCTTAGATCTTCCAGTTCCTCTTTCAGCTGTTGAATTTCTAAATCTCTTACCCCTATGGCAACCTAAAATAAAACAATCAAGTCATATTATAACACCTGGTTGTTCAGCATTTTGTATGTAAGTATCAAAACTACTTGCAGAGTTGAAAGTGCAAATTTTGTGAATTTAGTTTGACTAGCAAATATATAAGCTATGCTGTGGCCTATTTGTACATCTGGTTATTATGGAACATTGAATTTATTTATCAATACAATGATGCATAGAATAACTGGTACATTATGCATACTATGTATATATATATATATATTCTTTCCCCTGTCTGAATCAAATGTCCAAATTTTCAATCACAATTTTTGAACAAAATTGAAACACACACACACCTTCAACTCCCCGGTTTCCTTTGAATCTCCTTCTTCAGGTTGACTGATGTGTTCCAGTTGGTTCTTCAGGCTGCCAATGTCCTCATCAAGACGAATGCTAAGGGCTTCATTCCTAGAACAAAAATATACCTCTGATACTAAACAAATTTGACTGCATTCATCCTAAGTGAAAATGAAAAAAAGTTTTTTTTTATTAGTGTATTCAATTAATTAGTTGCACCTGATTTTTTCAACCTGTGTGTGTGTGTGAGAGAGAGAGAGAGAGAGAGAGAGAGAGAGAGAGAGATTGATGTTAATTAAGCTTACGTAGTCATGAGTTCATGCAGGTGTTTCCTGCTGTCCTTCAGCATCTTAACATGTGCCTCCAGACGTTCCTCCAGTGCAGACTTCTCCAGACACTTAATGGAGTATTGCTCAGACAGTATCTTCACTTCCTCCCGTACCATGTTCAAGTCATCTCTGAATTAAGTATGAAAACACAACATTATGCAATAAATTACAGACTACGGACAATTCAGAAAATGAAAAGATGATATTCAGAATCACAGAAAAACAAATGACTAGATGGCAATAATTTTGATTTTGACTGGGTTAAATATCTGCAACATATTTAGAGTTCAAGAGCCCCTTATTTTTATTAGCTTAATCTTTTTTGGTGAAATAACAAACCAAATAGCCTTATTCAAGTTTTGATATAAATGACTATTACAAGTGGTTTTAATATTCTACCAACAATATCATGGTGCACTATTTCACATTTATTTATCAAAATCAAAGTTATGAATGAAGCAACTTACTCATACTCTTGTCTGATATCTTCCAAGTCACCATCAGAGAACACCTTGGCCAACTTTTCCTGCATTTTGGCTTTTTCCTCAGCCAGCTGAGCTTCATGTGCTTTACGCATGGCATCAAGGGCTAAAATATATATCAATTATCATTTACTTAAACAGATACAGGATAATAGTAACACCTAGCAGATCTGACATACTAGGTTGGAAAAATCACAGACTAGGATCTACAAATAGGAAAATGGGATACAGAAAATCTGGGAAAATGAAAAATGTAGGACAACAAATTTATGGGAAAATGTAAGAGGGTGAAGATAACTCTAAAATGATATGAAATCTGCACTACCCTCTCAAGATTGGGGTATTTCACCATATTAATCTGACTCATTGAAATTTAAAAAAGAGATATTCATAAGTAGTACAGGTTCACTTAAAACTACAAATCTGAAAACAGATTTGTAAGGATGGAAAGTTCAGGTCAGAGAGAATCCACAAAACACATTCAAGAAAACGGACTCACTGTACAAAAATGACAATACACACAAAAGTTCCACATTAGACAATATTCATACTGCACTCCAGGGAACTATAACAATACCCTAGACTCACCCTTATGTATTCCCTCATAGAGGACTAAATAAAATGCAAAAACCTTATATATCAAACCAACCACAATGGTTTGGGACCAGGTTCTTCATTATTAAATTTTCCTAACATGTCTGCTTCTTGCATATGAACTTAAGAAGTATTCACTTGAAGTTAACTATTATAATCCCAGGTCTGTTAACTATGTCACATGCCCTCCTAGGAGTCCTTGAGATAACTAAATGGGAGTATAGATTGCTGTGGGAAACTAAATATTAAGTCTACTCTGGCCAAGGATAAATCGGTAATAGCCCACTTTAATGAGGAAACTAGACCTGTTTAAAATTTTAAAATTAAAAAAAAAAGGTTTATGTTTATATGTTTGTTAACTATTACAAACTTCTAAACTAATTTTTAAAAACTTAAAATCAAGACAACTTTCAATATAAGCTCTTTTGTGAAAAGGAGGGCATTTTGTGTTGTCACTGACAGCATAAAGGATTAAGATTGTGTAGGGGTTCGGAGAGGGTTTGTGTGTAGATGATATAAAATTATGATCAGTTGCTATCATTTGTAATCTACTTTAAAAAAGAAAAGTGGCGAATTTATATCAAAATAATTTTATTTTTAAAATTGTTACAGGGGGGACAAATCAATGTAACTTGAAATTTTACCCCAGCTCCCTTATTATCATGTTTCCCCATGAACTGTATATCATGATGCTTACCAGACTGTGTGGCTTTTGTTTCTTCATCAAGAGCATGATCTTTTTCTTTCTTCAGGATTTCCACTTCTTTTTTGTGTGTGTCTCGGATTTCTTTCATCACTTTTTGGTGGGACCTTTCCATGGCAGCTAAACCTTGCTCACAAACATCCTGTAAAAACAATGATATCAATGATGAGGACCTACAAATGCCGCATTAACTGACAAAAGAATGCATAATGTATGATACATAAATAGGCCACATTTAGCACAGCATTATTTTTTATTCAAGTGCACTGAATATGAAAGAGAATTAATTTTTTTACCTTCAGTTTATCAATTTCCTTTTCATACTTTCTACGGACACTGGCCTCGTCCACACCCTGGGACTGGACACTGGTCAACAGTTTGACCAGATCTTCTTTGCATCTGCCTAACTCTCTCTGGTGAATCTGCTTCTGTCTCTTCAGCTCGTGTTCATATTCATCCTAAGTGATACAAACAGGGCTAAATTAACCAAGGACTCAGAAACCATGTTTACTGAGTTCATATTTTTTTGCAGAATTGATAGCACCTTTTCCTCTTTTTTGTCAAACGCTTGGGTTTTCTTTTAATGAATTTTCTACGGGAGTTTATCTGAAAAATTGTTGTCGATGCATAATGAAAATGATGGATCTTCTTTCTATGGCAAAATGAAATTTTCTGGTCTCTGATATCATAATTAATTTTGACTGACTAAATAGTATGACATACATCCTTGTGCCTACTGCTTGTACAAGATAAAAATATCCACAAACCATCTCTTAATCATTCTTAAAACACTGCAACCAAGTGTTTATTTGTTTAGTAGCACCACCAAAAAAAAAAAAAAAAAAAAAAAAAAAAAAAAAAAAAAAAAAAAAAAAAGTGTAAAATATAGCAGCACAAAAACTAAAATAATTTAAAACAAATCATAATTTCATGGGGTAAAAAAACGAGCACAAATCATGCAATCATTATTAGATAAATCAAACAAGAATAACACAACACATAATCACTAAACTTCAAACAAATTATATCAACATTCATCATCCTGACAATTGGTTTCAGTCCTTTGCACACTATGTATCAACGAGTTTGGCAAAGTCAAACTGGGATCTTCCTCCATGAAAACTTACAAAGAAAAAAAAGGGCATTCATTCAGACCATAATCTGGGCCACCTACCTGCATGTCCATCACCCTCTGCTCTAACTGCTGGATGCGTTCCTGCAGCGCCTGGCTATTTGTGTGGTCAGGTGGACCAGGGCGGACTTTGCTTTGCAAGCTGGATTGCAGGCTCTCCAGTTCAAGCTGGGGAAGGAGATTACGGCACAATGCAAGGGAGTGACTTTAGGAACAGGGGTCAAGGGCAGGCACAGTTCGCATCATAGATCGACATTCCACTTGCTTTTGTTAAACTGCATGTGTACAGTTCTCTCTCTCTCTCTCTCTTTTTTCTTTTTTGAAAAATTGCTTTTTTTCTGATAGTGCATGTCATCCAATTTTTTAAAATAATCATAATTTTTGTTTTAGGGAAGTGATCAAAGTTAGGAAGCAAATGAAAGCAGTGACCATGAGATGGGCTGTGAGCTGCCTGTACATGTTATAATCAGATAAAATCAAAACTGCAATCAACTTTAAAAACAAAGCTTTAAACACAATATACATACAATATAAATATCAACATATCAAATCAAAAACAATCATTGTACTAATTATATAACAAGCAAAAAAACAAAGAACCGACTGCAGAATCATTCACAAATGAAAAACAAAATTGTCTGGGTGACCAAAAATATGGTTAAAAACTGACACATTAAGAATTGACGAAAATGTAAAATCAAAACTGGTGTAGACATGCCAAAACCCCTGTTAAGATGCGATACTGAGCCAAATGGCTTCAAAGATAGACCATATTGGGCCAACATTGCACGTAATCTTTTCTCGTAGCTTACCTGGTGTTGTTTTTTTTCTTCTTCCACCTGCTGTCGTAATCTGACAATCTCGTCCTGGAGATCTGTCCCCACCCTATTCTCTTGATCCCGCACAGACTTCAGGGCCATCCGCATGTCTGTTTTCATCTCTTCTATTTCAATCTGATGTTGTTCTTTGAGTTTGTCCATTTCCTCCTGAAGCTTCTGCTGATCCCCTGTGCTCGACTCCTTCTGCATTTTCAATGCACCAATTTTTTCCTCATATTCTTTCTTTTTGCTTTCCTGCTGTTTGAGAAGTCTATTGATTTCATTTTTGGCATCCTGGACCTCTTTCTTCATCGATTCAATATACTCTTCATGCTTGTCTTTCATGAATTGCAAGTTTTCTTTGTGCTTTTGTTCCATGTTGCTCATCCTCTTCTTGTACTCTTCTACCATTGCCAGCTCGGACTCTTGACTATCTATTGTGACTTTAAGCTGAGACGTGGTACACTTCAATTGGTCAATTTCATCTCTCAAATGATTAGTACTTTGGGTGTACTCTACACGTTCTTTTTCAAGTCTTTCCTCATATTCCCTTTTCATAAAATCCAAAGCCTCCATTTTATCTTTTTCAGCTGTTTGTTTCAACTGCTGGACATCACCTTGGTTGATGTATTTAACTTTGTTCACCAAATACTTGAGCTGAGCTTCTAACAGAGCTTCTCTGGCTATCGTATTGGCACATTCATTCAATGAGCACACATCCTTAAACAAATCTAGGTCAAGGTCACAGACACGTTCTGCAAGACTTTCTATTTGGGAATCAACATCTGAAGGATTTCCAAAAAGCTGTCCCTTGAAAGCATCCAACTGTTGGGTCACATTTGCTTTCACAGCGGTCCGCAGACTGGATTTCTGACTAGTATCAAAAGAAAACACAACCTCACTTCCTTTGAGAGATCCAAAGAAAGGATACTTCGTTTCATCAAAGGAAACCCCAGAATCTCTAGCACTCAATTTCGTGTGCTTTTTCTTGCTTATGTAATTGTGCAGTTGAGTGGCACAATAGACGAGCAAACCATTGACCAGAGCTCTCAACACCATCAAATCTCCTGCTTCTTTACCAGGATGTAGAACAGTTTGCTGATATTGATAGTCAGTTTTCAATAATAAAACCAAATGATCAATCTCATTTTTGATTAAAACTTCAAAACATGACATATCTTTTTCAGTTAATATGTTCTGCACAGACTGGTAGAGTAGCACTGCAAGCTCTGCTTGAACCACTTCCTGCGTGACAGAACTCCTGTCAAAACCTGCCTCACTGCCTGTACNTAAAAGAAGTTTCTTCACATCTTTCTGCAAGATATGCTGTAGTTTACATTTTGAATAACTTCCCTTTTCAGTTCTTTACAATACAACACAACTTGCTTTATAGAACTCAAAATAAGGAAAATAAATCATATTAAGATACCGGTAGGTCAAAAAATAACTCATAACAGATATAATGGATATGACTGAATGTTCCATAATGATAAATAACAAATTATGAAATATAATTACTGGAATGGACTGAAAAAAGTTTTTGATTTTAATCTCTCAATTTGCACATCTTTGTAATTTTTATCAAATTACATAATCAAGTATTGAACTCTGTTTACTTGAAAGTCAATTTATTTGACACATGATCTTACACTGGTGACAATTTAAACAGTTTTCTAAGAGGGAGGGGGGAGAAGTGTCAGATGCTACTTCTGAAACTTCTTCATTCTCTCGGCAACACTCAGTCCAGATCCACTTCGTGGAAAATCTGAGATGACCCTGCCCTCAAAGTCTGACGACCCTCTCTTTCCACCAAGCAATTGACTAACTGGCATCCCGGGGGTACTTTGAGATCTTCTTAACTCTGAAAATATGTAGACAGGAAAATTGAAAACTAAATGGGTAAAGAAATATATTACAAGTAAGATTTTTAACATGATTTAAAACATACCACTGGTCGTGATTGATAATTAGATGAAAATGGACATTACAACTACATCTAACACGACACATATCTTTCTCTTACAACATCAAAAAGGCCCACCATAAGCCTTGGAGGACCTCTTCCTGCCAGGGGTGCTCTTAGTGGGCTGCGGTGAACTCTCGTGGGGCTCTGGACTCGCACTGAGGCTACGGGGGCTCTTGGGCTCTAAAAAAATGTAATAAAGGTGTCATGGCCTTAAAAAAGTATAAATAATCCATTATCAGTACAATTTCATTTTTTTTATTTGTTCTCTATTTTTTATTTACTTTTCGTTCTTTTTACAATTTAGAATTTAGTTTATATTCCTCTTTCTGATCAAGACTAATTTGAGGCACATTGACAGGTCTAGGATTTTGCCAAGGGCTGGTGTGTGGGGCTGGTTGAAGGGCATAGGCATTTGTCCTCTATTTGAATTACATTTGAATTACAGGTTTAAAAATTTGTTTAAATTTTCCCTTTCATCATTTGACTGCTTTATGCATTTTTTAAAACAAACCTCTTCTGTTCCTTTCCCTTCCTCTTGATCTTGAACTCTCTTCTCTCTTTTTATCTCGACTTAGCTTTTCAAAGCTTTCTTTCAGATTGGCCAATTCCAGTTCGTGATTTGCCTTCTCTGCTTGAAAGTTGGTGTACAATTCATTATATTTGTCTGCAGTTTCATCTTGTGCCTGAAACAATTAACAAAACATCATACAAATCTGATAACTAGCACCTATGTATGTATCTACTTCAAAAAAAAAATCTTTGCAAAATCCATCATCATAGTAGCGAGTATATATATTTTAGAAATATCACATTATCCAACTCTTAACAAATCAAATCACTGGAAGCAAAGTGGCAGATGGCTGGTATGATTCAGAAGTTGTTGTTCTTAGAGCAGGGCATCCCTACATCCCCAGCACTGGCTAAGGAGACAAAGATTTTTAAGTGGTCACCAGATGTTTTTATTTTTACATTTTCTTTTTTCAACCTAAATATCTGTTCCTTACATCTTCAGCCTCCTGTAGCTGGTCTCTTAGATCTTCCAGTTCCTCTTTCAGCTGTTGAATTTCTAGATCTCTTACCCCAATGGCAACCTAAAATAAAACAATCAAGTCATATTATAACACCTGGTTGTTCAGCCTTTTGTATGAAAGTATGAAAACTACTTGCAGAGTTGAAAATGCAAATTTTGTGAATTTAGTTTGACTAGCAAATATATAAGATATGGTGTGGGATTTTTGTATATTTAGTCATTATGGAACATTGAATTTATTTATCAATACAATGATGCATAGAATATCAGGTACATTATGTTTATTTATTTTATTATTTTTTTTGCCATGCCTGCTTCAAATGTCCAAATTTTCAATCATAATTTTCCAAAAAATTTGAAACACGCACACACACACACCTTCAACTCCCCGGTTTCCTTTGAATCTCCTTCTTCAGGTTGACTGATGTGTTCCAGTTGGTTCTTCAGGCTGCCGATGTCCTCATCAAGACGAATGCTAAGGGCTTCATTCCTAGAACAAAAATATACCTCTGATACTAAACAAATTTGACTGCATTCATCCTTAATGAAAATGAAAAAAAGTTTTTTTTTCATATTAGTGTATTCAATTAATTAGTTGCACCCGATTTTTTCAACCTGTGTGTGTGTGTGTGTGTGTGTGTGTGAGTGTGTGTGTGAGACAGAGAGAATGAGAGAGAGAGAGATTGATGTAAATTAAGCTTACGTAGTCATGAGTTCATGCAGGTGTTTCCTGCTGTCCTTCAGCATCTTAACATGTGCCTCCAGACGTTCCTCCAGTGCAGACTTCTCCAGACACTTAATGGAGTATTGCTCAGACAGTATCTTCACTTCCTCCCGTACCATGTTCAAGTCATCTCTGAATAAAGTATGAAAACACAACATTATGCAATAAATTACAGACTAGGGACAATTCAGAAAATGAAAAGAAGATATTCAGAATCACAGAAAAACAAATGACTTGATGGTAATAATTTTGATTTTGACTGGGTTAAATACATGCAACATATTAAGAGTTCAAGGGCCCCCTATTTTTATTAGCTTCATCTTTTTTGGTGAAATAACAAACCAAATAGCCTTATTCAAGTTTTGTTATAAATGACTATTACAAGTGGTTTTAATATTCTACCAATATCATGGTGCATGTTCACATTTATTTATCAAAATCAAAGTTATGAATGAAGCAACTTACTCATACTCTTGTCTGATATCTTCCAAGTCACCGTCAGAGAACACCTTGGCCAACTTTTCCTGCATTTTGGCCTTTTCTTCAGCCAGCTGAGCTTCATGTGCTTTACGCATGGCATCAAGGGCTAAAATGTATATCATTTACTTAAATAGATACAGGATAATAATAATAATAATAATAATAATAATAATAATAACACCTAGTGGATCTGACATTCTAGGTTGGAAAAATCAGAGACTAGGATCTCCAAATAAGAAAATGGGATACAGAAAATTTGGGAAAATTATAATTGTAAGACAAGTTTTTGGGAAAATGTAAGAAGATGAAGTCAAGTCTCAAATGATATGAAATCTGCACTACCCTCTCAAGATTGGGGTATTTCACCATAATAATCTGACTCATTGCTTGCTAACAAGGAAGAAATTTTAAAAAGAGATATTCATAAGTAGCACAGGTTCACTTAAAACTACAAATCTGAAAACAGATTTGTAAGGATGGAAAGTTCAGGTCAGAGAGAATCCACAAAACACATTCAAGAAAATGGACTCACTGTACAAAAATGACAATACACACAAAAGTATTATATTAGACAATATTCATACTGCACTCCAGGGAACTATAACAATACCCTAGACTCACCCTTATGCATTCCCTCATAGAGGACTAAATAAAATGCAAAAACCTTATATATCAAACCAACCACAATGGTTTGGGACCAGGTTCTTCATTATTAAAATTTCCTAACATGTCTGCATCTTGCATATGAACTTAAGAAGTATTCACTTGAAGTTAACTATTATAATCCCAGGTCTGTTAACTATGTCACATGCCCTCCTAGGAGTCCTTGAGATAACTAAATGGGAGTATAGATTGCTGTGGGAAACTAAATATTAAGTCTACTCTGGCCAAGGATAAATCAGTAATAGCCCACTTTAATGAGGAAACTAGACCTGTTAAAAAATGGTTTGATTATATTTTTGTAAACTATTACAAACTTCTAAACTAATTTTTTAAAACTTAAAATCAAGACAACATATAATCTCTTTTGTGAAAAGAAGGGCCTTTAATTTTTTTTTTTTTTTTTTTTTGTCACTGACAGCATAAAGGATTAAGATTGTGTAGGGGTACGGAGGGGGTTTGTGTGTAGATGATATATCATTTGTAATCTACTTTAAAAAAGAAAAGTGGCGAATTTATATCAAAATAATTTTAATTTTGAAATTGTTACAGGGGGGACAAATCAATGTCACTTGAAATTTTACCCCAGCTCCCTTATTATCATGTTTCCCCATGAACTGTATATCATGATGCTTACCAGACTGTGTGGCTTTTGTTTCTTCATCAAGAGCATGATCTTTTTCTTTCTTCAGGATTTCCACTTCTTTTTTGTGTGTGTCTCGGATTTCTTTCATCACTTTTTGGTGGGACCTTTCCATGGCAGCTAAACCTTGCTCACAAACATCCTGTCAAAACAATGATATCAATGATGAGGACCTACAAATGCTGCATTAACTGACAAAAGAATGCATAATGTATGATACATAAACAGGCCACATTTAGCACAGCATTATTTTTTATTCAAGTGCACTGAATATGAAAGAGAATTAATTTTTTTACCTTCAGTTTATCAATTTCCTTTTCATACTTTCTACGGACACTGGCTTCGTCCACACCCTGGGACTGGACACTGGTCAACAGTTTGACCAGATCTTCTTTGCATCTGCCTAACTCTCTCTGGTGAATCTGCTTCTGTCTCTTTAGCTCGTGTTCATATTCATCCTAAGTGATACAAACAGGGCTAAATTAACCAAGGCCTCAGAAACAATGTATACGGAGTTCATATTTTTTTCAGAAATGACAGCACCTTTTCCTCTTTTTTGTCAAACATTTGGGCTTTCTTTTAATGAATTTTCCATGGGAATTAATCCAGAAAATTGCTGTTTATACATAATGAAAGTGTTGGATCCTTTTTCTCTGACGAATGAAATTATCTGGTCTCTGATATCATAATTAATTCTGACTGACTAAATAGTATGACATACATCTTTGTGCTTACTGCTTGTACAAGATAAAAATATCCACAAACCATCATCTCTTAATCATTCTTAAAACACTGCAATCAAGTGTTTATTTGTTTAGTAGCACCACAACAAAATAAATGTGTAAAATATAGCAGTACAAAAACTAAAATCATTTAAAACAAATCATATAATTTCATGGGGTAAAAAAAAAAAAAAAAAAAAAAAAAAAAAAAAAAAAAAAAATCACAAATCATGCAATCATTATTAGATAAATCAAACAAGAACAACACAACACATAATCACTAAACTTCAAACAAATCATATCAACATTCATCATCCTAACAATTAGTTTCAGTCCTTTGTACACTATGTATCAACGAGTTTGGCAAAGTCAAACTGGGATCTTCCTCCATGAAAACTTACAAAGAAAAAAAGGGCATTAATTCAGACCATAATCTGGGCCACCTACCTGCATGTCCATCACCCTCTGCTCTAACTGCTGGATGCGTTCCTGCAGCGCCTGGCTATTTGTGTGGTCGGGTGGACCAGGGCGGACTTTGCTTTGCAAGCTGGATTGCAGGCTCTCCAGTTCAAGCTGGGGAAGGAGATTACGGCACAATGCAAGGGAGCGACTTTAGGAACAGGGGTCAAGGGCAGGCACAGTTCACATCATAGATTGACATTCCACTTGCTTTGTTAAACTGCATGTGTACAGTTCTCTCTCTCTCTTTTTGAAAAATTGCTTTTTTCTGATAGTGCATGTCATCCAATTTTTTAAAATAAACATAATTTTTGTTTTAGGGAAGTGATCAAAGTTAGGAAGCAAATGAAAGCAGTGACCATGAGGTGGGCCGTGAGCTGCCTGTACATGTTATAATCAGATAAAATCAAAACTGCAATCAATTTTAAAAACAAAGCTTTAAACACAATATACATATAATATATATCAACCTATCAAATCAAAAACAATCATTGTACTAATTATATAACAAGCAAAAAAAACAAAGAACCGACTGCAGAATCATTCACAAATAAAAAACAAAATTATCTGGGTGACCAAAAATATGGTTAAAAACTGACACATTAAGAATTGACGAAAATGTAAAATCAAAACTGGTGTAGACATGCCAAAACCCCTGTTAAGATGCGATATTGAGCCAAATGGCTTCAAAGATAGACCATATTGAGCCAACATTGCACGTTGTCTTTTCTTGTAGCTCACCTGGTGTTGTTTTTTTTCTTCTTCCACCTGCTGTCGTAATCTGACAATCTCGTCCTGGAGATCTGTCCCCACCCTATTCTCTTGATCCCGCACAGACTTCAGGGCCATCCGCATGTCTGTTTTCATCTCTTCTATTTCAATCTGATGTTGTTCTTTGAGTTTGTCCATTTCCTCCTGAAGCTTCTGCTGATCCCCTGTGCTCGACTCCTTCTGCATTTTCAATGCACCAATTTTTTCCTCGTATTCTTTCTTTTTGCTTTCCTGCTGTTTGAGAAGTCTGTTGATTTCATTTTTGGCATCCTGGACCTCTTTCTTCATTGATTCAATATGCTCTTCATGCTTGTCTTTCATGGTTTGCAAGTTTTCTTTGTGCTTTTGTTCCATGTTGCTCATCCTCTTCTTGTACTCTTCTACCATTGCCAGCTCGGACTCTTGACTATCTATTGTGACTTTAAGCTGAGATGTGGTACACTTCAATTGGTCAATTTCATCTCTCAAATGATTAGTACTTTGGGTGTACTCTACACGTTCTTTTTCAAGTCTTTCCTCATATTCCCTTTTCATAAAATCCAAAGCCTCCATTTTGTCTTTTTCAGCGGTTTGTTTCAACTGCTGGACATCATCTTGGTTGATGTATTTCACTTTGTTCACCAAATACTTAAGCTGAGCTTCTAACAAAGCTTCTCTGGCTATCGTATTGGCACATTCATTCAATGAGCACACATCCTTAAACAAATCTAGGTCAAGGTCACAGACACGTTCTGCAAGACTTTCTATTTGGGAATCAACATCTGAAGGATTTCCAAAAAGCTGTCCCTTGAAAGCATCCAACTGTTGGGTCACATTTGCTTTCACAGCGGTCCGCAGACTGGATTTCTGACTAGTATCAAAAGAAAACACAACCTCACTTCCTTTGAGAGATCCAAAGAAAGGATACTTCGTTTCATCAAAGGAAACCCCAGAATCTCTAGCACTCAATTTCGTGTGCTTTTTCTTGCTTATGTAATTGTGCAGTTGAGTGGCACAATAGACAAGCAAACCATTGACCAGAGCTCTCAACACCATCAAATCTCCTGCTTCTTTACCAGGATGTAGAACAGTTTGCTGATATTGATAGTCAGTTTTCAATAATAAAACCAAATGATCAATCTCATTTTTGATTAAAACTTCAAAACATGACATATCTTTTTCAGTTAATATGTTCTGCACAGACTGGTAGAGTAGCACTGCAAGCTCTGCTTGAACCACTTCCTGCGTGACAGAACTCCTGTCAAAACCTGCCTCACTGCTTACTGGTGCTTGATCTTTTAGCATATGTTCCAAGTCATTCAACTTTTGATTCCTAAATGCATCTATTGCTGTTAACAAACCATTTTCTTTTTCACATAATCTCTGTTCAACAGACTTTAATTCCATCTCTAAAAGTTTACACTTATCATCAAATGAGGACTGTTGTTGAAGTTTATTCAAAATGTCAGACACTTCACTTTGCAATAAAGAATTAGAAGAGGAATCCTTGTACAACCTTGCATCAATTTCGGTTGTGAAAACTTGAGATTCTGGTAAAATCTCAGCACTTTCTCCAAAACCAGAGGCCATTTTGTCTATTAAAGTTAATGCTTCCCCATTTTCCATTAATCTTTCTGCCATCACAGCTGCAAATGATGCAAATGACTGTTGATGAGGTTTGTACGGCCGCTCCTGCTTCGCCATCTGCCAGGTGTCCTGCAAGTCTTTCCAGTATGAGGATTTACCTTCAGTATCACCCCTCTTCCCACGTACAATATAGTCTGCCTCCCCTAACAAGATGGCCTCCAAGGCAAGTTTCTCTGCAAAAGTTTTCAGACGATGCTCCACAGCTGATGAACTGACCAACTGCTTGCAGTCGCTTTCCTCCAATTCTTGCAAAACTTCTTGTAATCTTCCCCTTACCCATCCTCTTGACAAATCCACCTTTTGGGACTCCACATCTGCCATAAGGCTGCCCAGTTTTGCTTGGCAGTTATCTAAAGTCAGCTGACTGCTGTTCAGTTTGCTTTGGATGTCCTTCACTTTTTTGTGGTCGGTATTTAAGTTCTGCAGAGACTGGACTGTTTCCTGCAACCTTGATTCCAAACTGGTTGTTTTCTTTTTCAACGTTCTAATCTTAGCCATAAGTGCTGGGTTATCATTTTCTATGTTTGATGAATCTGAATCAGATAGTTCATTTTCTGAAGACTGCTTTGAATCACTTCCTGATTTTCGTTTTCTAGCTTGTTTGGTAGAATCCGACTGTTCACCTTCAGACATAACATCTTCCGCAACTGCCTGTTGACTAGGCCTTTGAGATTTCAGGAAACTTTCAGCATACTTTAATCTGTTTTCTATCTTTTGTATCTGGGACTCTAGCTCCTGGGTAACATTTTCATAATCTACTTTGGGTCTTTTTGGTCTGTCTGGCTTATTTGTGGCTTGGTCAGTTTCCTGTGTTTGCTTTCCAGCAGACAAGTTACAAAGTTCCTCTACTTTGCCAGATACAACTTCAATCTTGCTATGAATTTCGGATTCAAGGCAGTCCAACTGGGATTTCAGTTTTTCGTTAACAGCCTTCAGATGAACAGACTCTTTTTCAGATTGGTCAATCGACTGTTGTAACTTTTCAACCTCTTGGCTTGTCCTTTCAAACTTCCTCTTCAAGTCTGAATATTCTTTATGAATGGACTCTGACCTGGGTGGTACTGCCTCCGGTAGTTCTGATGTTGACTGAAGTCCAGCTGTTTTAAGTTTAGCCTCTGCATCTTGCAGCTGACTACTCAATTTGCTGACATCTGCACACACACTGTCATACTTAAGTTTCAATTCAGCCAAGGCATTTCCACCTTGTTTCTTGCTCAGCTGCTGTATGATCTCTTCTTGCTCACTGACTTTCCTCTGCAGCAGCGCCATCTCTCCTTTCAGATCATTACTTTCCTTTAACAAGCTAGAGTATGCTTTGTCATTCATCTGAAAGATGTTTTCCATTTTTTCTAGTTCATTTTGATACTGAGCGTTTTCACTCTTTGCAGTGTCAAGATCTTTGTGCAACACCTGAATTTCTTCCTGCATAGCAGACAGCCTTTCCTTGAGACGCATGTTTTCACTGACTGACTGATCAAGATTCTCCTGAAACTGGTTGTTTGCCTGGACTTCCATAGCAATTTCCTCCAACAAATCATCAATTTTGCTGTCATTTTCAATCAATCTTTCTTCCAGTTGAGCAATAGTTTCATCTTTCTCATGCAGAATCTCCATCATGTTACTATTCATGGAGTCAGTGATGTTGGACTGTTTCAATGCATTCTGCAAGCGCTGTTCTGCCTCATGCAGCCTGCTTTCTAAAAGTCGCCGTTCTTCACTGAGCTTCTGCTCCATCTCTTCCAGCCTTTTTGTCTTCCTCTCAAATTCTTCAGTATTCTGATTCAGCTGCAGGCTTTTCTCTGCCAAAGTTTTCTCTGCCTGTGCCAACTGGGCTGTTTTCTCTTTAAGTTCCCTCTGCAATGCACGCACATCTTTCACTTGGTGCTCTAACTGTTCTATATGTTTGCCTTGCTTCTTGATCTCAGAGCGTGCCGTTTTCAGAGCAGCATCCTTGTTTCGAACATCATCCTCTCGTTCCTTCAACCTTTTCACAGCCTTTTTGCATTCCTCTGCTAGTAGTTTCTCAGTGGCCTGCCACTCCTGGGCCAGCTTCTCCATTTGGGTCTTCTCCTCTTTCCACTCGTTGATGGACTTGGAGAGAGCTGCCTCTGTGTTGCTCAGTTCCAGGGTGGTGACTTCAAGCTTTTCCTTCAGTTCCAGAATCTGTGCCTGCTGTTCCTCCACTGTATCTCTTGCTTCTTTAAGCTGTGACTTCAAAGTTGTGACCTGTTGAAACATGTTAGGCATACTTTATTTCTCAAACAATTTAATCTACTTGTATAGCAAAATCAGCTTAAAAGACTTAAAGAAAAGAAAGATGTAAATCAGCTTTTTGAAAATGTGAACCACTTAGGTTAGTGGGATAAACCTATCTATTTTCACTAATTATCAACAATTAACAAATGTTTCAAATCTAGGAAAGGTTAACAGTTTGTACTTCTTAAATGGGGTCATACTCTACAGTAGCACATGCCTCACATTACCTGTAGTTTGGTCATCTCCGACTTGTTATTCTGCTCCGACAGTTTGGCATGGAGATAGCCTGTCTTGTGTTCCATCTCATCTTGAATATCTGCAATCTAAAGGTACAAATAGTATCTTAGTTTCTTTATCTTAATAAGTATACATTAACTTGATTAATACAGAAAAGATGGTAGTGTTTCACACCAGACTATGCTCTTCCCATGCATATACAACATGTACATTCATAGACAAACAATAACAACAGAGAAAATCACATAAAAGTATAGGAGAAATACATCTACAGCTTTTTTGAGAAAGCTACTACCAGTACACAGAAACGTATGAGGAATATGAGGCTTAGATCCTCAGATGGTAAAAAAGGAGCTGCAAGGATTTTTCTAGCAATGGAGGGACTAAAATATATATAGGAAGAATAGGTAAAATACATATAGGAGTAGGAGTTTGTAGATGAGCAAACATTCCATATATCAGCAGCAATAAGCAAAAGCTGTTTTCTCAGGGAAAAAAGGATGCACAATTTCATATCTGTAATCAGAGGCCTACAAATCCCTGTAAATCGTGTGGGGACCTCATTCATCATGCCAGTACAGGGAAGAGATAGAGATAAAATGGTAAATACAAAAAAAAAAGTTATTTTCAGTAACAAAATTATTGACCGATTTACCCAAAATGTGAAATTTTTGAAAAGGTGTCATTTTCAATTTCTCTAGAAGAGTGCACAGACTCACAGAGAGTAGGAGTACAAGGATGGGTACATTTAATCTGAATAAATCCTGATGTTCAGAATCTTGAACTTTATCCAAGAACATCTGACAGCGATCCACAAGAAGCTATTGCAAATGACCCATGTTTTTCATCCAATCACAGAATTCCTTAGAAGCCCATATTTCAGCTCCTTAAAAGCACTACAGCTGCCCTGCTGATTGGTTGAATCACAGGAAACCTGTCCACTGTCAGATATTCTTGGGATGGGGATAAGGTAGAGTGGCATTTGAATGAGACTGGGTATCCAGCAGGTCTCCCTCTCACCTGGGACAGATAGCGATTCTGTTCATTCTCCAGGTCATCCAAGGAGTCCTTATGGTCCCTTTTAATGGAATGGAGGTGCGCCTTTAAGTCGCTGTTGTTGTCATGCATCTTGATGAGCTGGTGCTGCGTGTGTTCAAGCTGAGCCTTGAGAGATTCAACCTGGGTTGACCAAGAATGGGACACAGAATGAACGCTAGCAACTAACAAACGAACCTAGAAGAAACAGAGGGGGTAACAAAGCATGCTGAGTGCACAAAACTAAAACCACAACCTACTAAAAGAAACTCAAGGACAGAGACAGGTGACTCTAACAGACTATGGTAATTCTTCCAATTTTTTTTTTACATCTTTTACCTTCCCATTCAAAAAAGTCAATCATTTTGTTAACTCATTAGTCATTTTGTAGGTTCAGCAATAACAGGTAAGTCTGGGAAGAGCTGAATTAGTTGCAAGATATGACTGTTGTAACAAAAGGAAGTATTACCATGTGATTAAAGTTGGTAAAGCAAAGCAGTGTGTGTTAGTCAATATGGGGTTTTTGGGAGGGGGGAAGTGCTGACTCCTAGGTGCCAATCTCTTGTGCTGCCACCTAGGTTCCAAGTGTTATACTTAATTGATGGAGCAAATGAAACGGGATTGTTGAATATATTCCATAAAAGACATAAGCTGTAAGATACACCAATGACTCTAAATTTTGTTACAAGCAAGCACAAGAGCAAAGCAATCTGCAGCATGGTGGTCTTGATATTTTTCTTATCTCTAAAACCAAACTCTCTCAGGAGTCTGGGACCAAGGGAAAGATGCCCTCAAACCCACATATTTCCCTCATTCAAGATAAAGAAATGTGAAACAATTGTTTGGGTAAAATAAAAAACAACAGCTGCGTGTATGAAGTTCAACTTCTAAAAAATCTATATTTATTATATTTTCCTGTGGTGTATCTAGTGTGTCTTATTTTCATAAAATAATCATAAATTATTTTTAAAAAACTCAAAGAACTAAAATTCTATTTTTTAATGCCCAGTGGTTGTGAAGCAAGCTGGCATTAAAGATGAGGTAGGGGGAATCTACTAGTATTGTGAATACAACCAAAACAAACCAACAAAACCAAAACCAAAACTAAGCTACACAAGTCAAGAAGCTGCCAATGATAAAAACCTTATATAAAATCAAACCTTTCTAATGTAAAAACAAATAAGAAACATTCAATTTTTACAAAAATACTAGAAAACCTGGCACCAAATAAAGCATTCTGAAATATGGCACAATGTTAGTGACTTTGCCCTGGGACTTGTGTTTAGACTGATCAGCAGTTTAGAATCTGTGTTCATTTACTGCCTCACCAACAAGCCCAGAGTGTTGTTGAAAAGATCTAAACTAACATGATCCTCAAACCGCAAATAACACACCAATCCTAAAAGCTACAAACTGCAACATTTATCTAATTATGAGCAAAAGCATCAGGGTATGCTGCACAATTAGAATTGGAAAAGCTCAGTCCAAAAATTGCAGTAAATTGCAATTTATTCAACAACAAATCAGCTTCATTTTGCAGAGACTTAACAGAACATGTTTTGAAGTTCACTTCACAAGTTCCATAAAATATATATATATTAAAAACAAAAAACAAAAAACATAAATTTGCGCAATAATATACATCATGTTAAAAAAAAACATTTTGAAAAGAACAACTTTCATTACAACAAAGACAGCAGGAGTCTGACATAACATTTCATGCAGGTGGTTGTACAAGCAAAAAAACATCCCCTCACTACAGCTACAGTTCCCTGCCTATGACATACCCTCTCCTCTATCTCCTCCGCCATGGACTCCGTGTCAGACTCATCATCTGCGTCATTATCAGAGTCTGTATCTGCTGCCACCTGGGGGGTTAATTATTATGGTTAAGGACAGCTGGATTGGCATGCCAGGGGGGAAGAGAGGTGAAGATCTTATACTTTGTCCATAACTCACTGATACTTTGTTCATAACTCACTGATATCTTTATATACAACAGAAGTGCAATGAGCATTTTGGAGAGAATCATTTGTAGATGGTATGTTTTTGAATATATTTTTTCGAGATAATGGTGCAGAACTTCAGATTTGAACTTTTACATAGTTTGGGTTGCGATAAACAGTCTAAAGAAAAATGATTGTGCATAATACTACATTTCATAGGATTATGAAAAGAAGTGAATGTCAAAAGAGCAGTTTTAAAGAAAATCATTTTAAGATTCATTTATCAAGAGTTGCCAAAGTGTTGGCTTATCATTCATATATGTCACATAAAAAACAGAGCATACTGGATAGAATTTGGAATTAAATAAAATTTAAATTGGGGGAAAAAAGAAAAGAGAATCACTGCTCATCTCATATAGAAATATAAGATCTCCCTCTCCTTCCAACACTGTTACAATACAATGTAACACTGTACAGACAAACTCAAACCCTCATTCCACCAACAATCACCAACAGTTAAAAGAAATATCAAGAATTATAACAGGATGATTTGATATCTGACAGTTAGGGAGAAATGAAAATAAATATGATTGACAGAAAAAAGCTTGTAACATATTAACTTATATAATTATGCATAAATGATTATTATGTAAATAAATAAGGACATTCAGTTTTCATGCATACGCATGCACTCTCCCACATCAGCAAGTTAATACATAGAGACAATTATGATAACAAGATACATGTCACTGAAGTCTTGACCTCACATCACAACTGACCTTCTGTATGCTGGACATGGTGACAAAATATTTCAGGTTTCAACTTCTTATAGATATAATCTATAGGGACATATCATATGCACTTGTGTTTTTTCACAGTACACCAGATATCACTAAAAACAAGATTGTCTCCTTGTTTTCTCTAAAACTTTTAACAATTGATCAGATTTAGTATAAAACTAACCTCTGCTTCTAGAAGTTCGACTAAGATGGTTTCTCCGTCTTTTGTTTTTTGTGATAGTAGAGACCCAGGGTAGTTGGCACTTATAGTGGGCTCTTCAGTCTGCGAAGAAAAACAAAATTTGAATATCAATGTTCTTATTTAATATTAAAAATTATGATCATATTGTTGCATAAATCAATTGGACCTGTTTTGCCATGTTAGGTAGGTTCTTTCTTTGATATCTTAATTATTTAATATCAATTACACATTAAAAGTAACACACTGCAAAATTTCTACAAAAACTGATAAGGTTAATCAGGAGCCAATATTTCCAATAATGTGTATAAAAATATGTAAAATAATAATAAATTTTGATCATATTTTATGAAGAAATATGTTTAATATTAAAATTTCTTACCATTAAGTAACACACTTCAAATATAATCAAAGCGCTGAGAGAAATATTTACAATACTAGTATACTTTAGGAATTTTGAGACAAAAATTGGTTCCATTCATGTTCCTACTTTATGTACCTTTTCTGCTGAATCCTGTCTTATATTCGAGGCAGCCTCTGCTGAGTCTGCACCAGCCTCAAGTGTTTCCACTTCCTCTTCCTTTACAGCCTGACGTAACTTTGCCTTAGAACCTGGCGATCTGGATCTTAACCTGGGCTTCGGAGATTTAGATCTTGACTTCTCCAAAACTTTGGCACTGGGAGCTTTATTAGCTGGAGACTTGGATCTTCTCTGCAGGCCATCTCGGCGATCCAGTTCTTTCTCAAGATCATCGCTTGAGTTTCGAAAGTGAAAAGTCTTTGTGTCACTTAAGCTGCCCGAACTCTCAGAGTCACTTTTTTCTTCTTCTGTCTTGCTCAACTCCCTTTCACTGGACTCTGAGCGAGCGCGTCTGTTTTCCTCCTGAGCCCTTTGGGCTAAACCACTTATATTCTTTTCCAGATCTGTAATTTCTTGTAAAAATTCTGTTCTTTCTTCTACAACTTCCTCCTTGGTGTCTGATGTTTCTCCATCATCTTCATCACTGCTCGTTCGCCTTTTATAAACAGGGTGCTTGGCCTGGGAGGCTGTCTTGGCAGCATCAGCGATGGCTTCCCTTTCTCTCTCTGAGCCAATGGTCTTTCTCCGTGGAGGCGAGTCTCTGGACTGCCTGCGGTACAGCCTCATCCCAGGGAAGTCAGAGTCATCATCGCTATAGTGTCTACTGTTAGACTTGCTCTCCTCATTATCAGACCTTCTGCGAACCTGGCCCACATGGTTCGAGCCTTCGCTTTTCGCTGTCAAACTTTTCAGTCGACTGGCCCAGGATTCCAGGCTCATTGAGGTGATGGAGGGTGCACTGTCCAGTGTGGACTTGCCATCTGTGTTGGTGTCTGCACACTTCTGAACTGCCTGCATCCAGTTTGTGCGGATCCCAGCAGTCATGGCAGACAGTGTGAAATCTCCACCTGTGGTCTGAAAAATAGACAAGAAAAGCCCTGACTAACAAAAGACTGGATAAAGTCAAAAGCAACTGATTTAGGAATTTTAATTTTTCAAAATTCAATTTTAAACTTAAAAGTCCATTGAACGTATTTCCATCATCTTTGTATACAATAATATAACTTCAGGAACTTCAGTAGAATTAGAAATTAAAAACTTTACACCAGACTTATCTCACCTTAAAAATGAACAGTTATCAATGTGTAACAAATTCAAAGTTCTTGACCTGTGTTATAATAATGCATTGTAATATAAATCAGACAAAAAGGTTAAGACGAGTAAATGAGAGAGAGCTATAAACGAGCTGAACAAAGATGAAAAACAAAAGCCGCAAATATATAACATCACTCCTTTCTGCTAACCTTGAGACGAAAGCCATAATTCTTGGCCTCTGGCACCTCAGCCAGTTCATAGCAGGTAGACAGGTCAATCACCCCACTCATGAAGTTAGCATCCTCTGCCTTGGCATCCCTGAAGTACTTGAGGGCATTGCCACTGAGAACAAACCAGTGCTTCACCCACTCCTTTCCATTAGAGGCCAGCATCAGCAACCAGCCTTTCTTGGTGAACATCAAATCCTACAAGGAAAGTAAAGCAAAAGTTTGTAATACTTTGCTCATAAACAGTTACTCCATTCAACCTTTTCAGTTATTTGTTGTCATACACACAAATGCACATGCATGCAAACATGTTGCTCACACACACACACACACACACACACACACACACACACACACACACACAAATAAATAAAAACTCACGGCAAAAGAGGAAATTCACGGCAGACTAGTTATAGACTAAATGACATTAACAGATGACTAACAGAAGACTTTGGATCACCAGATGATCACATTACACAGGGAACTCCACCCCCCCCCCCCTACCCCTTTGAACCCTAAATCCCATGTTAAGCAATCTGATCATCTGGTGAAGTAAATGAGATCCAACTTATGCATTCAGTGGTTTTTCTGTGGTTGACAGAAACCATGTAAGATCCAAATTGAAGGAAGTTCCTCAGTGACACATCAACCACAGTTTATATCATGGCCCTACATCTAAGACCCCTAGCAATGTTAACTTTTGTATATATAGTGTCAAATCATATAATTTTACTAAAATGATGTTTAGTTATATAATCCTTATCCCTTTTTCTGTAATATTTGATTAAAGAAAAAACTCTTCCAAAAATTACGGATATACATTAAATTTAAAATTGTAAAAAAGCAAAATGTCACCCCAACAAAAACGTAAACAACTAAATAATGAATTTAAAATAAAATAAAGTCATAAACTGAGGTAAAGAATACTTGTGTTTTGAATTTCTGATAAAAAAACTTATTCAACCTGGCTTTGTGTAATTTTCATCCCGAGACAAACTGGTTTAAGTTTAAGTCTGTGTCTGGCTATATAGTGTCATAAGAACTTACATCTAAACTGGGTGTCTGTTCTTCAGATTTAGATTTCGATGATGGTGGGGCAGCAACTGCAGTAAGCTGGTTAGACAGGTATTGCTTGCGCTCACTGCTGGTGCGAGCCATCTGTAAATAGACAAGGAAATCCTATTTCATTCTATTATCTCGAAAAGATTAAATATCAAAATAGAGAAAAGGGCCCTTACAAAAACTCTTAAAATACAGAAATCTTATCATTTGCAGCTTTCAACCATTTAGGTTTTTAGATCACCTCAATTTACAATTTTACAATATGGTACTCAGGTCAGGTTTACCTTTAACTCATCTGTTTCATTCCTTAGTGGCCCTCTATTGTGCAGATCTCCTCGACTCATAGAGGCAGAGGTGGGGGGAGACGCTGATAGTGGAGGGGATGACCCCTTCAGTATTCCTGTTGGGGTTCCCCTGTCACTTCCAGAGCCATTACTTAAACGAGCATCATAACGTCGCAGGGAATCTGTAGAAGAACAAGAATCCTTACGGGCCCTGTATTCCCTTTCTCTATCTGCTAAACTTACATATGGCCGAGGGGTCGAACTGGAAATATAAGCTGCAGTGCGTTCACTGGGAGTATTGGACTGTGATGTGTGGGGTTTTGGACTAGACACAGCTGAAGAATCTTTACCATTTTGTGGCAGACTAGATGTTGTGCTAAAACTACCATTTGGTCTCTTGTTGCGTCCTACAAGGGACGTCATACCAAAAGTTAAATCCGGTGCACTTTTCTTCCTGGCTGCAGACTGTTTTTGTTCATTGGGGACATACTGGTCAATGTGCTTGGCTCTGGGGATACTGGCGAGTTTGAGGTAGGCACTATGGGAACGTCCTTTTTGGGGAGGTTTTTGTTTCGGTGGCTCTGGATTCATCAAGGATTCAAAAAAGGTTTTGGGTTTAGCACCTGCTCCATCAGAGTGGTCCCCATCTCCTTCCAGCCCCTCCATTGATGCCCACCTGTTCAGTGAGTCCCCCGAGCGACCAAGATTACTGATATCGTCCCGTGACCTGCTGCGGTATTTCAACAGATTACTTGAAGGCACTTCCTCTGCAGGATCGTCAGAAGTTAAGTCATGAAGACTTCGACTTTTTCTTAGTTCACGATTCACTCCCTTGTCTTTATTTTTCAAGCTGCGTATACTCCTAAAATAAAGAGGTCCTGTGGGTTCAGGTGTGCTCCTAGAACTCCCAGATGATGCCAGGCTATGTTCACTCTTTGTTCTGACTAGATCTATCTCAGGAGGTAAATAGTCTTCTTTTTCCTTTTCTCTTTCCTTTTCTCTCCTTTTACTTTGTTCATAATCAATAGCCTTCCCAGGGCTGATATCAAATATGTCCTCTGGTTTGTTCTCTTTCTCTTCTTCCTCCCAGTCCTGCACCTTGGGGTGATACGAGGAGTTGTAGCGTTGGCGGGGAGGTAATGGAGGAGGTTTGTCTGCCTCTTGATCGCTGGCAGATGAACTATTCTCAGCTGAGCCGTTTGTGGACGTGTCACCAGGAACACTGCGACTCTTGTTCAGGGGCTGAAAAGATAAGCCAAGGAATGCAAATACTGAATTATAATGACATCCTTTTTTTTTGATGTTACATCAATGCCATATCTCCCACGACCCCATGACTAATACACCACATTATGTTTATCAACTTCCTTTTTTAAATACATTTTATATGTATGTCTTTACCACAGTTATATTCACTAGCATATCATTCATCTCACATTTTAAAGACAGGTGAAGACACATCTGTCTTGTTATGACAGTTGTTGAAAAAATATTCAGTTTTAACATCTCAAAATACAGATTAAAAAAAAAAATGGAACTCCTCTTTCACCTTCTTCTGTCTCCGCTTTTTCTTGCCAAAAAAGATACTATACAAACAACCTCGGCACATTTTGCTCCAATTTCATGCAGGCTGCACAGTCTCTATCACAGGACATCTATCAAAGACCCTCTGACATGACAAGAACAGAGTTCTACCACATAATGACAGACAATGCTTCATCATAAATTCATGTCACAGCCCCCTACCAGGTAGAACAATCCGCACATGAATTTTAATAACACCCTTGGATACCATTTGGTCTTCTAACAATCCACAAGTCAAAAAAGGCCTTAAGCTTGGGCTCACACTGGAATTTTTTTTTCAAAATCTTTGCCAATGGCTAAATTTCATATAATAAGGGAATGTTTATTGCTACATAGATGTGTCCATTACGCCATTAAGCAATTCGACTCGATAACAAAGATAGGCTTGGAATTCTGCAGACACCTGCTTGCAGAAAAAAAAATTTCGATAAGCCTATGCAGTTTTTATTCTAAAATTCTTTCCTTATGCACGTATTACTTTAACATATTTTTTACTATAAAGTCATATGGATTAATCTAGTATACTGTCTGATACATTGTCAAGTTCTAGTTATAATTAGTCTTCCATTTTGCCACCAAATTACCATAATTCCTTATAAAATGAGGGCATCACATAAATTAAACATAGTTTAATGCAAAAAAAAAAAAAGTGCCAATGTTCCACTATCTTCCAATATTGTATCTTGTATTTCTTATCATTTGGTGAATTCCAAAACATGATGCACTTTGAATTAAAATCAATGCAGTCATAGTAGAAGATATTTGAAGGCAGTGACAATGATTCTTCTGTTTTTAAGACCAAAAAAATATAAGCTACATATGTTTACTAAATTTGCTTCAAAATGTGATTTGAATGCATCAACATACATGTAGGTGGAGGAATGCAAACTTGCTATGAAAAAAGTTTGCAAAAAATTGCACTACACAATTTAACCATGTATGAAAAAAGCCAACAGAGCAAATAAATTGATATTGAATGGGTAATGCTAGTAAGTAAACAGGTGATGGTCCAGCACTCCTGCTACACATCTAAAAGATAGAGAAGCAAAACATATCTAGTCTTTCCCCTTTTTATTCATGTACCTTTTGTGTGGTAAAAATGTTTTAGTGTAATATATGAAAAGAAAGAATGTCTTTTGTGTGCAGTCTTGGCATAGTGGTCACGTAACCTAAAACATCTGAACTGATAAACCCAAGAGCCCGTATCTTTCTACTATTTGTATTTGAACTTGGGTATGTGTGTGTATTAAAAATGTAAGGTATTTAATCATACCATCAATAATATAGGCTGCCCCTTACTGTTGACTGAAACTTGTTTCTGTGCCAAATGGAGTAACCCATGTTAGTATGTAGCAGTTTTGCTAAATGCCTAAAGGGAGTTTACAAAATTTTGTTGAAAAAAATACAAGTAACAAACTACTGTCTGTCATTTTCTAGTGCTTAACCTTCCCCCCAAGGTCAAATAAACTTGGACATCTTAAAACTTATTTAAATTTTTTTTATTGTTTAGCTTCAAATATGAATCTAATTTGACAAAATATTTTAGGTTAATCTACTGAGTCCTGTATATAGAAATAAAAGTATTTTTGTAGTTCATTTATTTAAATTAAATCCACTTGCTTTTAATTGTAAATGTAATTCACTTACCAAAATTCATTCACTTAAGTTTCTTTTACGTTTATTCATTGAAAACTAGACAAATCAGAATCTGCTATCAGTCAACCTTCAAATGTTTTGAGTCAGGGAATCATGGAGGCCAAGAATTTCAATCACTTATCATGATAATAATATTTACCCATGTGATCTTGAACAAAATCCATGAAGGCAATTTCTAGTATCGCTGCTTACCAGATCATTCTAGCATAACATCTGGCAATAACAATAACATTTACCAAATAATGGAAACAACTGATGCAAGTACAAATGGCTTAATTAAAAAAACTTTTAGCAATTGTCTCGCACAATGCTACAACTGGAATTTTACAGCTCAATGAAATTATTTGATAGTCTTCTGTACAACGAAGATCAATAATCAATACCAGTCATATGCAGAAGTCACGATATGGAAAGTTTTTATTGATTTGTAATAACAATCCATTCAAATAAACATATCAGGAATGCCTAATTGAAAAAAAAAATCATCATAGTTATGTAGTGGTGGCCTAGACTGCTGAACAAAAAGTCATGATTTGGTGAGTGAAACCAGACAAAACTTCACCACATATGTTTTGAGTAATCTAGACTGCTAGACTTCCTCTGTTTTTCCCCAGGATATATTACAATATCTGGTATTTGTACTGCAATGCCTTGCACCATAAAATGGCAGTGTGATATAAGAGTGGATAAAGCAGGGGACTTGTGCCTTTGCTACTGAGACACAAGTCACACTGTCCGAGGAGACCAACTCACGATAAACTTTTAAACAAAACTTAAAGATTTCTAAAATAGAAAAGTGTCAATTGGATTTTTCTATGTCTGAGACAGGATGATAAAATACTGGCTTAACAAACACAAGTACGTATACCTGCTGTGTAACTCTTCACTTTACTCATAAATACGCCCGAGGCCCCATCACGTTCCTCACCAAACACAAACATTATGCAATACAGCACCAATACACACAAAATATAAAGCCAAATAAATTATTAAACACGGTATATACTCATAATCAGGTCAGGCATCTCATGTCACATAACAGAATTCTCTTTTTTTTAGTTTTTAAATAATTTCAAATCACCTTGATGCATTATGTCCAAGGTATATCAGCACCATGTTACTGGGTCAACAGAAGACAAGATGGTTCATCTTACCTGTTTTGCTGATAAGTTTGCCACTGGCTGTGGTATGGGGAAAGTCGGGGCACGCCTGTGCTTGGTCTTAATACTCCGCGGGTACATCACCAACACATCATGCCACCTAGTGGTCAACAACACAAAAACAAAGATGAATTAAACTCTATACTTACTTGAATAATTCTTTCTTGTATAATTTCTGGATAATTTTGGCTTCAAGTAAACCAGCTGCACTACTGCGGAGACCCAGACATTGAAATGCTTACGTATGCATGCCTCGATATTGCAGAAGTCACCTGTGCAGTGAATCGTGAAGTGGGAACTGTTTACTTTTGACAGGCACACACAATTCTATCCACCACTAAGAAAAAGCACACAGTGCTGATGAAAAAAGATGCTATTATGTTTTGTTTCGTAAACAAAGGCAACAGCACTCAAAGATAGAATCAATATATTACTTACATTCTTGTGTTAGTAAAGAGGCCTCATTATCATGGAATAAAAAAACCCCAATGCTTCTAGAGCTCAAGTAAAAATCATTATCAAAAATATGGTACAGATTTTTTTTTATAATTAAGAAAGACAATGTATGACAGAGTGTTGCCTTCCCTTTTTATACCAATATCTGGTAGGTAGCAATTTCTAACCACCCTTCCACACAAAAAATAGTGAAGAGATTTGTATATTCCAAACACAACCAGCTTTTGTCCCTTCTCTCTAAAAGCTGTCTCAAATATCTTAATTTAGTTGGAGACCTGTGGACTTGTTATCCAACTCACAAAAGAGTTGTTAGACACCAACCGAGTTTGGGTTATAAAACTGACAATGGACCTTTTTGGAAATGAAAAACCGGTTTTAGCAATGTAAACAGCCCAAATCTGGTGCCCAACACTGTCATGTAAGCTCAATGTCAAACGAATGTTTGCGCATGGATGTGAGTATGCACAATGCATCCTGTTGCGTATTCTGGTGAACAACAAAAGGGGATACAAACTTCAACTATGACTGTTGTAGCTTATGTGACATAAGAAATAAAATTAAATGTAAAATATCTTTCTGGTTTACTTGTTACATTATCATCACATATTATTTCTGAAAAAAAATATCTTGGCATATATTTTCTTGAAAAGAAATGATGGCATCAACTGAGGATTTTTATAGTTTTGATCAAAGAATATTGTTGTTGTTGATCATGCCATGCCACATAGGCATAACATCCATCTATGTAAATGTTCATTTATTAAAAAAATTTTTTTTTGAAAATAAAAATGAGATAAATCAAAAATAAAAGCTGAAATCAAAAGCTTCAACAGCACCAATACCCATGAAAAAATTACCTATTGATCTCCTCCCTATTTGTTCCCTTCACATAATAAGTTTTCTGGGGAACAACAATTGCAATGGAGAACTGGTGAGTACTGACTTCTTCTGCCCCAAACACATCTGTGCACTTGTTCATATCAATTTCCCCTTGCGGGACAGTATTCACCTGGAAAAAAAAAGAGAGAATAAATCAGACATATCCTTGGAACAGTTAAGACACTAAGATAACAGATAATGTGAATATTCTTATTGGGATGTAGCAGCAAAAAGTACCATTATGATAACAATTTCCTCATTGTGTTGCCATCATCAGGTATTTTACTCAGGAAGTGGCATGTCCTAGGTCAGGACTTGAACACTTCATCAGAATTCTGAGATTGTGATCTCAATCAGGAGTTCCTTTGCTTCAACTTAAATTGCATAAATTTTGGAATTAAATATTTTCATGAAACCAATGGTTTAATTGCATATTGTTTCCAGACTGAAGTCGTGCCATTAATGTAAATTTTGCTTCAGTTTTGTCCCTAGTTAACATCTATATTGATCAAACGCCACCATATGAATATATATATCTTGAACACAACCAGCTCCCGAATCATTTCCATTTGTGCCAGAAAATTGCACCAACAGCTATTTCATGGTCTTTTAACCTGTAACATGTATTACATAGCAAATATAATTATAGTTGGTAAAATTTCTCAACAACCAACTTCGATATTTGCCTTGAAATCTTCTCATGGCAATATCTTGACTAAGCAATACCAGAAAGCCATTCAAGTGACTGGGCCAGTGATTGTGTTAGGTGAGATTCTCAGCTGAATGTGACACAATCTGTGAAGGGGTTGCAGAAGCCAGTTTAACTGGCACATCATTATTTTTCTGTCTCCTATTTCTTTCTTAATTCAGGTGCGAGAAATATCGCGGCCTGAACATGAGGAGCTTAATAAAACATTTCTATCTCTTCACACAGCTAAATGAAGTCATGTTTAGATATTGCAAAGAAAATGTCTGCAACCTGTGTGTATACCAGCAAGTTCAATTAATCCGAGGAATACTGGCATGTTTACTTAGTGCAAACATTTTGCATGAACAGAAGAAAATAAACCATTCACTTATCCCTGGATTGTCAAATAACACATGATCATATATGCAGGAAAGTTTACTTTTTCTTGTTCATAACGCCAGACAATGTTTATAAGAATTGCTTCCTATGTTAGTGAATTGGGAATTTGGAAAACATACCAGTCACATGAGATAACAAAATTTATGTTGGAGGATGCCTGCATTACTTAAAACAAATATACAATTGCTTATTGCTTATTTTCACAGAGAGCATTAAATATTTATGGACCAGCAATGAAAATTTCATAAGTGGGGAAGATATATGGTTTCACTGACATAAAACACATTATAGACATGTTACTTGTCAGATACTAGCTGAAAGTTTTTATTACCATACCTTTGAACTAACAATTATATTCTCCTAAAATGATGACATTCAAAAGATTGTCATCTAGGTGAAAGTTTAAAACAATCTCATCATTACCTATTCCTGTGGCTTCATCAAATGTTATATTTATATTATGGCAGGTATATATCATCATTAAAATCACTATTTTCCCAACAGAGATGGTTTAATTAGGCCTTGGGGAAGTGGAACTTTATTTTTCAAACACCCCCATATGGCCACAGGATCCACCTTCTGATGTATGAATATGGCGCATATAAATCAAGCTCACATATTGTACTGATGAAACAACTTAATTAGCATTGGGGTAACAGCAGGGGCACCAACCATGCAAAATTACCATGTACTTGAATAATGTAATATGTAATGTAATACATAACATCATGTAATATAGCAATGACTGTCACAAGACTGGCGAGTATGTGGAAATTGTGCAAGGAGGACAGGGAGACAGAATTCAGGTTGTAATAGTTGTTGCTTGGGTTCACTTGGATAAAATGTCTTACAGCCATATGCCTGGTACTTATATCAAAAATTTCAACTAGACCAATGCTAAATTCATCAAAAAGTCTAATATTTTACACCTACTTCAGCCAATATGAATATGTGTAGTTAAACTTTACAATGCGAGAGTGAGACTAGCAATAATGTACCCGAATTTTAGAACAAAACACACACACACACACACACACACACACACACACACACACACCTTATCCCAATTATATTATAACAAGCCCCTAGATCTAGGGGTGAATTGGCTGCAGGTAATTATCTTTCCAAGGCTACTGACTGTCTCCTGGTTATAACTGTCACATACAAATCAGACCAAAACAAGGGCAGGGATAGCAAATGCTGTCACAGGAGCAGAATCCCTCTCATTTTCATGATGGGTTTAACAAACAAGCTTCAGTCAAAAATTGTTCATCACTTAATGGTTAAAATTTAGTCTTGTTTGATTCAAGATAAATTTGCCACAGTCCATTATGTGACTGCTAGGCTTGTATCAAAAATGTCAGAAATCGCTCAGGTTTCAAAGATAGTTGTTTTAGAATAGTTTTAAAACTGTAACTTATTTACCACAGCTAAAAAAAACTTTTGGTGGCTTTTTTTCCTATCAATATTTAGGGAATGTTCAAATATTCATTTCTTTATAATTAAGGTTGAAAAATTATCCAAAAGGAAAAAGTCAACCATCTCTTCTATATGCCACCAGGGAAATATATCATACGATATAATTCCCTGATGCCACAAACATCACAGCTCAGCAATAATATAGGGAGACATGGGTGCATACCATTTGGGATTTCTCACAGGTATCTTATGTTCCAATGGATATCATTTAAGCTAAATGCATTATGGTCAGCATTGTTGACCAGTATACTGACCACTAACCATTTGTCAGCAGATCACTGAAAGTGGGCAGTCACACAATGACCCTGATGACAAGATGACCTTCACAGTCTGTATATGGTCAAGTTCACACTCACAAAATGGAAAGGTTTCAAATGGGTCTTTTCTTACAGTTTACAATTTTTCATAGAAATTCTCTCGTCTGCATCATGGGAAACAACACAAAACAATCCATCCACATTTCTATTCATCCACAATTTAATGATTCAAATTATCCCTATATGTTTAGGTGTTAAAGCAGGTTATCTGACAGATGCCATAAAAAAGCAGTTGGATCCAAAATCTCACCATCTTGTGTAAATGTGTGAACAGACAGTGCCTCTATGGACAATAATGTATCTCCGTCTACAGTCTCCACATACTCCTAACTTTAATGACCATGTTGCAATCACCAGATCATATAAATCTATACCTGGTCACCTTCCCAACATTAAAATTGACCAGGTGGCAATAACCAGACTACATATATCTATTACCAGTCATCTCCACAACATAAAACTGCCTGTTTATTTGAGGTATAAAACGGGTTCTCTTTCAGGCATGAAGGCATTAAAATAGCTCAAGCAGCTTAAGTAGTTTTAATTTCTTGAGAGCTATTTGCAAGAATCGTTTTCATTTTATGTTATTTTACTTTATTTTTATTAAAATTTATTTTTCTTCATAATTCTTGTATTTCTTTTCTATGTGTATGTCTGTCTGTCTGTGCATCCATTCCTTTATCCATTTATTTATCTATTTATTCATTGGGTGTCTTTCCCAGAGATTTAGATCAATCTAAAGATTAAGANGAGTGCTCCTAGAACTCCCAGATGATGCCAGGCTATGTTCACTCTTTGTTCTGACTAGATCTATCTCAGGAGGTAAATAGTCTTCTTTTTCCTTTTCTCTTTCCTTTTCTCTCCTTTTACTTTGTTCATAATCAATAGCCTTCCCAGGGCTGATATCAAATATGTCCTCTGGTTTGTTCTCTTTCTCTTCTTCCTCCCAGTCCTGCACCTTGGGGTGATACGAGGAGTTGTAGCGTTGGCGGGGAGGTAATGGAGGAGGTTTGTCTGCCTCTTGATCGCTGGCAGATGAACTGTTCTCAGCTGAGCCGTTTGTGGACGTGTCACCAGGAACACTGCGACTCTTGTTCAGGGGCTGAAAAGATAAGCCAAGGAAATACTGCAAATACTGAATTATAATGACATCCTTTTTTTTTTGATGTTACATCAATGCCATATCTCCCACGACCCCATGACTAATACACCACATTATGTTTATCAGCTTCCTTTTTAAATACATTTTATATGTATGTCTTTACCACAGTTATATTCACTAGCATATCATTCATCTCACATTTTAAAGGTGAAGACACATCTGTCTTGTTATGACAGTTGTTGAAAAAATATTCAGTTTTAACATCTTAAAATACAGATTAAAAAAAAAAATGGAACTCCTCTTTCACCTTCTTCTGTCTCTGCTTTTTCTTGCCAAAAAAGATACCATACAAACAACCTCGGCACATTTTGCTCCGATTTCATGCAGGCTGCACTGTCTCTATCTAAGGACATCTATCAAAGACCCTCTGACTGACAAGAACAGAGTTCTACCACATAATGACAGACAATGCTTCATCATAAATTCATGTCACAGCCCCCTACCAGGTAGAACAATCCGCACATGAATTTTAATAACACCCTTGGATACCTTTTGGTCTTCTAACAATCCACAAGTCAAAAAAGGCCTTAAGCTTGGGCTCACACTGGAATTTTTTTTTCAAAATCTTTGCCAATGGCTAAATTTCATATAATAAGGGAATGTTTATTGCTACATAGATGTGTCCATTACGCCATTAAGCAATTCGACTTGATAACAAAGATAGGCTTGGAATTCTTCAGACATCTGCTTGCGGAAAAAACATCTTTCTATAAGCCTATGCAGTTTTTATTCTAAAATTCTTTCCTCATGCACATATTACTTGACATATTTTTTACTATAAAGTCATATGGGTTAATCTACTATAGTGTCCGATACATTGTCAAGTTCTAGTTATAATTCCTTATAAAATGTGGGCATCACATAAATTTAACATAGTTAAATGCAAAAGTGCCAAATTTCCACTATCTTCCAATCTTGTATCTTGTATTTCTAATCATTTGGTGAATTCCAAAACATGATGCACTTTGAATTAAAATCAATGCAGTCATAGTAGATGATAATTGAAGGCAGTGACAATGATTCTTCTGTTTTTAAGACCAAAAAATATAAGCTACATATGTTTACTAAATTTGCTTCAAAATGTGATTTGAATGCATCAGCACATGTGGAGGAATGCAAACTTGCTATGAAAAAAGTTTGCAAAAAAGTGCACTACACAATTTAACCATGTATGAAAAAAGCCAACAGAGCAAATGAATGGATTTTGAATGGGTAATGCTAGTAAGTAAACAGGTGATGGCCCAGCACTCCTGCTACACATCTAAAAGATAGAGAAGCAAAACATATCAAGTCTTTCTCCTTTTTATTCATGTACCTTTTGTGTGGTAAAAATGTTTTAGTGTAATATATGAAAAGAAAGAATGTCTTTTGTGTGCAGTCTTGGCATAGTGGTCACGTAACCTAAAACATCTGAACTGATAAACCCAAGAGCCGTATCTTTCTACTATTTGTATTTGAACTTGGGTGTGTGTGTATTAAAAATGTAAGGTATTTAATCATACCATCAATAATATAGGCTGCCCCTTACTGTTGACTGAAACTTGTTTCTGTGCCAAAATGGAGTAACCCATGTTAGTATGTAGCAGTTTTGCTAAATGCCTAAAGGGAGTTTACAAAATTTTGTTGAAAAAAATACAAGTAACAAACTACTGTCTGTCATTTTCTAGTGCTTAACCTTCCCCCAAATGTTAAATAAACTTGGACATCTTAAAATTTATTTTAAATTCTTTATTGTTCAACTTCAAATATGAATCTAATTTGACAAAATATTTTAGATTAATCTACTGAGTCCTCTATATAGCAATGAAAGTATTTTTGTAGTTCATTTATTTAAATTAAATCCACTTGCTTTTAATTATAAATGTAATTCACTTACCAAAATTCATTCACTTAAGTTTCTTTTACATTTATTCATTGAAAACTAGACAAATCAGAATCTGCTATCAGTCAACCTTCAAATGTTTTGAGTCAGGGAATCATGGTGGCCAAGAATTTCAATCACTTATCATGATAATAATATTTACCCATGTGATCTTGAACAAAATCCATGAAAGGCAATTTCTAGTATCGCTGCTTACCATATCATTCTAGCATAACATCTGGCAATAAGAATAACATTTACCAAATAATGGAAACAACTGATGCAAGTCCAAATGGCTTAATTAAAAAAACTTTTAGCAATTGTCTCGCACAATGCTACAACTGGAATTTTACAGCTCAATTAAATTATTTGATAGTCTTCTGTACAACGAAGATCAATAATCAATACCAGTCATATGCAGAAGTCACGATATGGAAAGTTTTTATTGATTTGTAATGACAATCCATTCAAATAAACATATCAGGAATGCCTAATTGAAAAAAAAAATCATCATAGTTATGTAGTGGTGGCCTAGACTGCTGAACAAAAAGTCATGATTTGGTGAGTGAAACCAGACAAAACTTCACCACATATGTTTTGAGTAATCTAGACTGCTAGACTTCCTCTGTTTTTCCCCAGGATATATTACAATATCTGGTATTTGTACTGCAATGCCTTGCACCATAAAATGGCAGTGTGATAGAAGAGTGGATGAAGCAGGGGACTTGTGCCTTTGCTACTGAGACACAAGTCATACTGTTCGGGGAGACCAACTCCTGATAAACTTTTAAACAAAACTTAAAGATTTCTAAAATAGAAAAGTGTCAATTGGATTTTTCTATGTCTGAGACAGGATGATAAAATACTGGCTTAACAAACACAAGTATATCTGCTGTGTAACTCTTCACTTCACTCATAAATACGCCCGAGGCCCCATCATGTTCCTCTCCAAGCACAAACATTATGCAATACAGCACCAATACACACAAAATATAAAGCCAAATATATTATTAAACACGGTATATACTCATAATCAGGTCAGGCATCTCATGTCACAAAATAGAATTTTTTCTATTTAGATTTAAAATAATTTCAAATCACTTTGATGCATTATGTCCAAGGTGTATCAGCACCATGTTACTGGGTCAACAGAAGACAAGATGGTTCACCTTACCTGTTTTGCTGATAAGTTTGCCACTGGCTGTGGTATGGGGAAAGTCGGGGCACGCCTGTGCTTGGTCTTAATACTCCGCGGGTACATCACCAACACATCATGCCACCTAGTGGTCAACAACACAAAAACAAAGATGAATAAAACTCTATACTTACTTGAATAATTCTTTCTTGTAATAATTTCTGGATAATTTTGGCTTCAAGTAAACCAGCTGCACTACTGCAGAGACCCAGACACTGAAATGCTTACGTATGCATGCCTCGATATTGCAGAAGTCACCTGTGCAGTGAATCGTGAAGTGGGAACTGTTTACTTTTGACAGGCACACACAATTCTATCCACCACTAAGAAAAAGCACACAGTGCTGATGAAAAAAGATTCTATTATGTTTTGTTTTGTAAACAAAGGCAATAGCACTCAAAGATAGAATCAATATATTACTTACATTCTTGTGTTAGTAAAGAGGGCTCATTATCAAGGAATAAAAAAAACCCAATGCTTCTAACTTAGAGCTCAAGTAAAAATCATTATCAAAAATATGTTACAGATTTTTTATAATAAAGAAAGACAATGTATGACAGAGTGTTGCCTTCCCTTTTTATAACAATATCTGGTAGGTAGCGATTTCTAACCAACCTTCCACACAAAAAATAGTGAAGAGATTTGTATATTCCAAACACAACCAGCTTTTGTCCCTTCTCTCTAAAAGCTGTCTCAAATATCTTAATTTAGTTGGAGACCCGTGGACTTGTTATCCAACTCACAAAAGAGTTGTTAGACACCAACCGAGTTTGGGTTATAAAACTGACAATGGCCCTTTTTGGAAATGAAAAACCGGTTTTAACAATGTAAACAGCCCAAATCTGGTGCCCAACACTGTCATGTAAGCTCAATGTCAAACGAATGTTTGCGCATGGATGTGAGTATGCACAATGCATCCTGTTGCGTATTCTGGTGAACAACAAAAGGGGATACAAACTTCAACTATGACTGTTGTAGCTAATGTGACATAAGAAATAAAATTAAATGTAAAATATCTTTCTGGTTTACTTGTTACATTATCATCACATATTATTTCTGAAAAAAAAAATCTTGGCATATATTTTTTCTTGAAAAGAAATGATGACATCAACTGAGGATTTTTGTAGTTTTGATCAAAGAATATTGTTGTTGTTGATGATCATGCCATGCCACATAGGCATATCATCCATCTATGTAGATGTTCATTTATTTAAAAAAACTTTTTTTTTGAAAATAAAAATAAGATAAATCAAAAATAAAAGCTGAAATCAAAAGCTTCAACAGCACCAATACCCATGAAAAAATTACCTATTGATCTCCTCCCTATTTGTTCCCTTCACATAATAAGTTTTCTGGGGAACAACAATTGCAATGGAGAACTGGTGAGTACTGACTTCTTCTGCCCCAAACACATCTGTGCATTTGTTCATATCAATTTCCCCTTGTGGGACAGTATTCACCTGGAAAAAAAAAGAGAGAATAAATCAGACATATCCTTGGAACAGTTAAGACACTAAGATAACAGATAATGTGAATATTGTTATTGGGATGTAGCAGCAAAAAGTACCATTATGATAACAATTTCCTCATTGTGTTGCCATCATCAGGTATTTTACTCAGGAAGTGGCATGTCCTAGGTCAGGACTAGAACACTTCATCAGAATTCTTAGATAGTGATCTCAATCAGGAGTTCCTTTGCTTCAACTTAAATTGCATAAATTTTGGAATTAAATATTTTCATGAAACCAATGGTTTAATTGCATATTGTTTCCGGACTGAAGTCGTGCCATTAATGTAAATTTTGCTTCAGTTTTGTCCCTAGTTAACATCTATATTGATCAAACGCCACCATATGAATATATATATCTTGAACACAAGCAGCTCCTGAATCATTTCCATTTGTGCCAGAAAATTGCACCAACAGCTATTTCATGGTCTTTTAACCTGTAACATGTATTACATAGCAAATATAATTATAGTTGGTAAAATTTCTCAACAACCAACTTCGATATTTGCCTTGAAATCTTCTCATGGCAATATCTTGACTAAGCAATACCAGACAGTCAATGCAAGTGACTGGGCCAGTGATTGTGTTAGGTGAGATTCTCAGCTGAATGCGACACAATCTGTGAAGGGGTTGCAGAAGCCAGTTAAACTGGCACATCATTATTTTTCTGTCTCCTATTTCTTTCTCAATTCAGGTGCGGGAAATATCACGGCCTGAACATGAGGAGCTTAATAAAACATTTCTATTTCTTCACCTCTTCACAGAGCTAAATGAAGTCATGTTTAGATATTGCAAAGAAAATGCCTGCAACCTGTGTGTATGTATACCAAGTTCAATTAATCCGAGGAATACTGGCATGTTTACTTAGTGCAAACATTTTGTATGTACAGCAGAAAATAAACCATTCACTTATCCCTGGATTGTCAAATAACACATGATCATATATGCAGGAAAGTTTACTTTTTCTTGTTCATAACGACAGACAATGTTTATAAGAACTGCTTTCTATGTTAGTGAATCAGGAATTTGGAAAACATACCAGTCAGATGAGATAACAAAATTTATGTTGGAGGATACCTGCATTACTTAAAACAAATATACAATTGCTTATTGCTTATTTTCACAGAGAGCATTAAATATTTATGGACCAGTAATGAAAATTTCATAAGTGGGGAAGATATATGGTTTCACTGACATAAAACACATTATAGACATGTTACTTGTCAGATACTAGCTGAATGTTTTTATTACCATACCTTTGAACTAACAATTATATTCTCCTAAAATGATGACATTCAAAAGATTGTCACCCAGGTGAAAGTTTATAGCAATCTCATCATTACCTATTCCTGTGGCTTCATCAAATATTATATTTATATTATGGCAGGTATATATCATCATTAAAATCATTATTTTCCCAGCAGAGATGGTTTAATCAGGCCTTGAGGAAGTGGAACTTTATTTTTCAAATGCCCCAATATGGCCACAGGATCCACCTTCTGATGTATGAATATGGCGCATATAAATCAAGCTCACATATTGTACTGATGAAACAACTTAATTAGCATTGGGGTAACAGCAGGGGCACCAACCATGCAAAATTACCATGTACTTGAATAATGTAATATGTAATGTAATACATAACATCATGTAATATAGCAATGACTGTCACAAGACTGGCGAGTATGTGGAAATTGTGCAAGGAGGACAGGGAGACAGAATTCAGGTTGTAATAGGTGTTGCTTGGGTTCACTTGGATAAAATGTCTTACAGCCATATGCCTGGTACTTATATCAAAAATTTCAACTAGACCAATGCTAAATTCATCAAAAAGTCTAATATTTTACACCTACTTCAGCCAATATGAATATGTGTAGTGTTTTGTTAAACTTTACTATGCAAGAGTGAGACTAGCAATAATGTACCCGAATTTTAGAAACACACACACACACACACACACACACACACACCTTATCTCAATTATATTATAACAAGCCCCTAGATCTAGGGGTGAATTGGCTGCAGGTAATTATCTTTCCAAGGCTACTGACTGTCTCCTGGTTACAACTGTCACATACAAATCAGACCAAACCAAGGGCAGGGATAGCAAATGCTGTCACAGGAGCAGAATCCCTCTCATTTTCATGATGGGTTTAACAAACAAGCTTCAGTCAAAAATTGTTCATCACTTAATGGTTAAAATTTAGTCTTGTTTGATTCAAGATAAATTTGCCACAGTCCATTATGTGAGTGCTAGGCTTGTATCAAAAAATGTCAGAAATCGCTCAGGTTTCAAAGATAGTTGTTTTAGCATAGTTTTAAAACTGTAACTTATTTACCACAGCTAAAAAAAAACTTTTGGTGGCTTTTTTTCCTATCAATATTTAGGGAATGTTCAAATATTCTTTTCTTTTAAATTAAGGTTGAAAAATTATCCAAAAGGAAAAAGTCAACCATCCCTTCTATATGCCACCAGGGAAATATATCATACGATATAATTCCCTGATGCCACAAACATCACAGCTCAGCAATAATATAGGGAGACATGGGTACAAACCATTTGGGATTTCTCACAGGTATCTTATGGTCCAATGGATATCATTTAAGCTAAATGCATTATGGTCAGCATTGTTGACCAGTATACTGACCACTAACCATTTGTCAGCAGATCACTGAAAGTGGGCAGTCACACAATGACCCTGATGACAAGATGACCTTCACAGTCTGTATATTGTCAAGTTCACACTCACAAAATGGAAAGGTTTCAAATGGGTCTTTTTCTTACAGTTTACGATTTTTCATAGAAATTCTCTCGTCTGCATCATGGGAAACAACACAAAACAATCCATCCACATTTCTATTCATCCACAATTTAATGATTCAAATTATCCCTATATGTTTAGGTGTTAAAGCAGGTTATCTGACAGATGCCATAAAAAAGCAGTTGGATCCAAAATGTCACCATCTTGTGTAAATGTGTGAACAGACAGTGCCTCTATGGACAATAATGTATCTCTGTCTACAGTCTCTACATACTCCTAACTTTAATGACCATGTTGCAATCACCAGATCATATAAATATATACCTGTTCACCTTCCCAACATTAAAATTGACCAGGTGGCAATAACCAGACTACATATATCTATTACCAGTCATCTCCACAACATAAAACTGCCTGTTTATTTGAGGTATAAAACGGGTTCTCTTTCAGGCATGAAGGCATTAAAATAGCTCAAGCAGCTTAAGTAGTTTTAATTTCTTGAGAGCTATTTGCAAGAATCGTATTCATTTTATGTTATTTTACTTTATTTTTATTAAAATTTATTTTTCTTCATAATTCTTGTATTTCTTTTCTATGTGTATGTCTGTCTGTCTGTGCATCCATTCCTTTATCCATTTATTTATCTATTTATTCATTGGGTGTCTTTGGGTGCTTTCCCAGAGATTTAGATCAATCTAGGATTAAGATTTAGATCGACCTAACTCCCTGGGGGTTCACGCTAAATTGCAGTCAGCTGAGCGGGCACCATAGTTAATTACCCCCTTACAGCTTTTAGTAGGCGGGACAGATGCTTAAGCCGGCCAAGCTGACAGTAATCTAGTGAGACTCCCCACAGGGATAGATCGATCTAAAAATCTATGGAAATGGGGTGTTTGAGTGAATTTAAAAACTTGATGAGCTAAATTGAAAAGTAAGACAAATTCAGATATTAAGAAAGGGACCAACATTCTGAATTTTAGTCCCTGCAGTGGAGGTTTTGGGCAAGTTCAGAACAGAAAATATTCTTAAAAAACCTCAAAGAGGGATTTAAAACTACCCTGTTCAGTTATTTATGCAAGTCAAGCCTGTGACTTTATGTCATGGACTCAACTTACGTCATGGACTCAACTTACACCCCTAAAGATTTTCTTAGTCTATTGTGGAAAAGTTAACAAAAGCTCCTTTCAAGTCATGAACATATCTTAAATTACAAAACAACAGTAATAAGACAACGAGTGCAATGCTTACACACAACTTTCAACTTCACATGGTAAAGCCTTTGTCATTTGACTTAATCAAACAGGGATTTTAGCACTAAACCTCATCTTTTTGATGAAAAGCTGACACCAAAACATGTGAGTTTGGTTTTTCTCTCAGCAACGGCAAGGGTTGTTTTGAAAGTCTGACAAACAACAAACATGCTGTTTATGTTTTTGCAATCAACAACATCTTTCACAGACGTTTGTTCATTGCACATAACAGGTGAAAATGTTTTCAATCAAATCAAATAGAAGATAAAGCAGTTCTGTGTGTAATAGAATAAACCTGTCTCAAAATTGTGTTTTCTATTAATTCTAATGTTAAACACATAAATAACAACTTATTTGGCAGTCAGCAGACACATTCATCATTAACATCCCATGAAGATCAATTTTCTTCAATTATGATTTATCACATCTGTGTAAAATGCTGCAATATTTCAAAAACAATTTTACCAAATTAGTTGAAATGGACATTTAGCATATGTGAATTCATTAGGCAACATATTGTGGTGGAACATTAATATGAAATAAATGCATTAAATTTTTGACCCAGGAGTGCACTTAGTTCATACTTTATGAGAAAGGCCTGGCAAAAAAGAAAACAAAAAAGCAAGATATATGCATGTTGCAATTTCTAAGAAAAGGCTTGTGATAATTTTAACAAACTCATTGTCTTGAAACAAACGAAAGTTTTAAATTTTTGCAGATACAAAAGATAAATGAAACAATCCATTTGGTTGGAAGTAATTACTTTGATCAAGTAGATGGAATAAAGGCACAGATGTTGTGGCTGATTGCTTCAGACTGAGTTTCAATTTCGTTCATTGTTTCCAGATAGCGTCTCAGGGGGGAGAGCCGTATGCTCAATCACGAATGCACTGAAAAACTGAATATCATTCTTCTGGCCTCTATGCCAACTAACACTACTGACAAGTCTCTGGGTCATGCTATCAGATTTCTGTATTAAACGAATTATGCATTTTTCCACCATTAATGTTTAAGTGGACAAATATTACTTCTAATGTTTTTTAAGCCAACACTGCATTCAGCAAAACCGAATTACCCAACTGAGGCTAAAATTTGCAAAGGTTTTCTTTAACCTGATGTCAACCCTGGTAATTAATTCCTTACCTCATTTAAAAACAGATTAAAAAACACTTGAAGCAAAATGGTTCTTAAGTAGTGCAATTTTTACTTACATTTTCATCCACAGAATAGGTAAGCTCTCCATCGTCGTATAGCACAAAGAATCTTCGCTGCCATCTCTGAAAATAAACATATATGTTATTTAATCACTTTTTATTTTCAAAACAGCATTATGTTAATCATAGCGACAAATAACAATTTAAAAGCAGAGGGGTTTATGAAAGAAAGAGTGTTTTTCTTAGTAACTTAAGGTAAGATGATACTTCTTCAAATACTAAAATACAACAATTAAGGTTTAAAGTTTAAATTAATATTAATAACAATAATAATAATAATCTGCTACCTAAGTCTGTAGTAACTAAAGCCCATATTTAACAGAAATATTGAAAAATAAAAAATAAATATTCCCAAGTGAAATCCAAGGTAGTGGTGGCTAACAGTTCATAATCAAGTTAAGTCGTTACATAAACACCATAATATACAAATTGTGCAGATTTGGAGGGAGGAGAGGGGAGTCCAGCATCTAAGATATAAATGCAGCTTATTTTAATTCATTCATGTTGTACACAATTTGCTGGTACTGCAACTCAGACAGCTTAAATGGTAGTTATCTCAATCAATGCATTTCCTAATGGCAATTAAAGGTAAACCACGGCTTCCTCTCTACAAGTGAAAGACACCCTGGCTATGGTCAGGTGTGTGCTTTAAGTACTATTCAGATACTTCCATTCAAAATCAGTTTTAACCAGAAGGTAGGCACTTGATTACAATCCCATGAGGTAATGCAATTCCTATGTGCTCTGACTTTAAATGGTTATCACAATGAGTGGTGGGGGAGATCACAGAGAAATCACATACTGACATAGGTGGATTGCAATCAATTGCAGCTTCCTATAATTAGGAATAAAATGCTTTTAGTTAAAGCCAGTCTGAACAAGGAAGATCTGATGCTTCAACTTTATTTAATTTCATCTTTCTGAAATGGGCAAATCTGACCATAGGCCATTGTTCATAAACCTCTTTCAAACTTGTAAGTCAGACCCACCATGTGGCCCATAGGTTTTGCTTTGGACAGTGAATAAAAATCTTCAATAAAAACTCTCTTTCTTCTTATTTTAGTCTATGACAAAATTTAAGGACTATCAAAATTAATGACATTTGCAATCAGTAAATTAAAGATTGCAAAGATTTCTGTAAGAGATAACTTTGTCAAAATGGTCAGGGAAATCTATAGCTTTGCACACTGAGGGTTCCTGTACCAGTCTTGATTGCACTGACCTGTTGACAAGTCAACTTAGATGTCAACTTAGATGTGTGAAAATATGATGTTATAATACGACACACTTGGTTCTCAACGTTTCACTTGGAAAAAGGAAAATATAAATAAGAATGAATTTTGTAGTCTATTATCACTAGATTTCTTCACACCATCTTGGTATGTTAATCACGAATGCCAAGTCAATGAAAATATCCATTTATATTTGACAAAATGTTTTATTTCCTTTTTGACTTTCCAGTGCAACCCAACCTCCAGTTACATAACACAACTTCACTGTAATATCAATGCAAACTTAATGTTATGCTTAAGGCTTCTTGTGGGCATTTCAATCAGAGGTAGCTTGTTGTCTAAATGAAAGGTGATCTACTTCTCCACTCAAAGCCCAGTGAGTGGCTTTAACATCAACTTTGCATACCTGGTAAAAGTTTAAAAGGAGACTTGGGGTTAAAAATGCTGATAGCATAAACTAGAATAGAGTGCTAGTCCATCCTTAGTTAAATGTCATGAACTATACTGGTCAAGATCTATACACAAAAGGGTCAGAATTTACAAAACTGAATTTCACTATCATAATAAAGTAATAACGAACACTGGACATATTTGTAAATACCTCACTGCCTAGTTATACAAGAGAATCACTGACATAAAAAAGTTAGATGGAATTGAGGGGGGAAGGGGGTCTAAGGGGGGGGCTCTCATGCTACTTTTTTCTTATAGGGACAATTCAGTGAGAAAGCTGACATCTTGAATTAATACTTTCTCTGTCTACACACTGCCTGTTCCATGACAAAGAATGTCAAATATTTGTACTGAAAGCAAGGACATCACTTCAATAACTGAACACAACAGACCACATTATGCAACAATAGAATTTGGTCTTTCATGTTTGCCTTTGGCTTTTGTGGAGAACACAGCTCCAATGACAAGAGGTAGCCCCAGGAAGACAAGAGGAGGTCAAGCAGACAGGGATTTTAAAAGAACCAACCAGGACAGTAAGGAACTTCTCACATCCAGCAGTGCATTTCACTGGACCGGTCCACTTTGTGAGAATAACATCTTAAAAAGGTGCAAAAAAAGCCTCCCCCCCCCCCCACCATGCTGTAACACAGTCAATTTATTGACTTTACAGCATAAGCGAACATGGAGAGAACTTGTGCAAGGGGGTAAACTCTGTAGTATGTGACATGCTAGAACATCTACAAGTAGTCCATTCCAGTTATATGTACCCCTGGAAATGAAAGTGGCCCAAGGGTGACCCCTCAAATGCTTTATCAACATATATATGTTCATGCTGTATTGCCATGTTTACAAGTCAATACAGGGATGGTTGATAGTGATGGTTGCTTGAAATGGAAGACTAATCAGTAATGAAGACTGGAGGAAAATGATTAATACTGAAGCATTTCTATTATTTTTGTCTGGCCATTAGTTCCTATAACCATAGTCCATAGTCCTAACCAAAATGCTTCAAACCAAGTGCAAGTGAACACATTTTTCCAATTCATTCCCAATGCTCAAAGCAAATGAGAACATTAGAGAATGTTTTTACCAACACATTATACATGTGTCTGTGGGAAACTAAGAAAAAATACAGATATGAAGGTGCTCTGAGAAGAGAGCTGACTAACTAAAAGCCAAGTCTCCAGTTGAATCAGGTTGACCTAACCTAGAGAAACCCACCACAACAGGGTGTCTGATTATGATTTGCTAACAACAGAAAACAAATCCTATGTGACACTGCCCATTCTCCACCATGCCAGCTCAGTGCAGTTACTTTACCCTGTGGAATATCTCCTCAACTTATCCAATAATCACAATACCTATGCCATTCCTAGTACACAGAGGTACGTTATAACCAGACACCTGAATCTCAGGGTGAATACAGTTGTCATGTGTGACTGGAAGCCAATCTCTCATTGAGATGCAGGTCAGCTCCCTCACTCTTTGCTCCCAGGCAAAGACACAGACAACTGAGCTCTTTTCATCAGCATTCAAGTCATACATTATTAACCACTTATTAAGGAATTCCTCACTAGAATTACTATGAATATATTTCCTTTCATGTATATAAGATGTACGTGGTCCGTGTATTATTATTTCGTATTACTATTTTTCTCTGCTTTCTGTATCCCCGTCTGTATAGAACAGACAGCTGAACTTGACTTGCACGTCCAGGTACTAGAATTCAGGTTGTCAACCTAAGCAGGGAACTGTACCTCTGGTATACCCAGGTTACATAATTACTTCCATACATCAAAATATCTGCATTTGAGTTGACAGTTTAACATTTCTTCATATTTAATACATACAAGGCGGAGATAGGGGAGGAATAAGAAATGCTGACACCTTGGGATGAGCAAAGTGAAAGGATTCCGAACTTACTAAAACAAAACTAAAACTATTCGAGTTGATGAATAATATGACAGTCAGTACAAAAAAGTGGATATAGGTGACAAAAATTCTGACAGAAATCCCACAAAAGAAATTCCCAGCAACTAGGAACCAGTGTAGTGAGACTGGGATCAAGTTGTGTCTATCAGGCAATAATTATCAACCTGTGCAGCTTCTATATATACATGACAATGACTTGCATGACGAGGAAGCATTCATACGCCTATGAACTATCACCTGCATCATAAGCTGGCATTAATTCTACCTCCTATAACAATGGCTAAGAAGTATATAGGAAGCAGAAAATAATGGCTATTATACTGCTGTAATATAGTTGACATCTTGGGTGCACTACTTCCCAGTGCTTTATGATGGCAGTGATGAGGTTATGAGTAATGGTTCTCTGGGGCACTCCTAAAACTCCCCTGTCATCCACATGAGTCCTGTTTACAACTAGATCTACATCTACACCTACGGTTCTTTCATGTATCCTCAGATGATCCCAAAGGAGGGAGATCTGAATACTAAGTGCTATATTTTAATTTGAATGTATACTGGTATACTCAACTAGCAAAGAGAATGATTTATTTCACAGGGTTGGACTCTGACGTCAAAATACAGTTGTGCTCCGCATTTTTTAAAATCAATCATGTTGATTTTTTTTCAAGTCCTAAATTCACCTGAATAGCACCCTCTTGCCAGAAAGAGTAATTGAGGCACAACTGTAAAATGCCCTCTAAATCTAAACTGCAGCATTGATTCAAGCTTGGCAAGGTTATTTCTATAATAACACATAGGCTTCATACAGATGAGAATGGAACTTGTGTGTGTGTGTGTGTGTGTGTGTGTATCCGGGGGTGGGGGGGGGGTGGGGGGGGGGGGATCTCATATATTCAACTGCCATTAAAACAGCAGAGATGTTGACTAAAATATAGTGATATATGCAGAAAGCAAAATGTCAGAGAGATAATATGTTACCCTAGATGGGGTTGCCAGTGATAAAATATCTGTTATTGACAAAGGCTGATAAGTGGGGGGATGTACATCACTGGGTGACCTATGGGCAGGGCTGGGAGTGGAGTGGAATAGACAATGCTGATACGAGTGCAGAGAAGAGATTTGCTAACACAGTATAAAAGTCTATTAGCTTCGGCTAGAGTTGCAAAAGACTGCAAAAATCCCAATTCACTTTGAAGCCGAATTGTAGGGATGGGGAGCTGATAGGTTGGAGGGGAGGGGATATGTGGTTAGATAGCACTACAATCAGAATGCCTTGAGGGCATCAATGTTGTTATCTCTCTCATACTATAGTGAAAACAGGAAACTAATAATATGAGTGACCTGTCAAAGGACAGGTAAAATAAAGGCTTTATCAAAAATACTGGATTACAATAACTAGTAGCACTTAGCAAACATTCTTATTTATTTAGCCAAATAACAAATCTTTAAACCATTATATAAGAAAAAGTTATTTCTGGGCTCTCTCTATGGTAAAATTCATTTTTGGCAAAAAAATGTAAATTCAATTAAACAGTTGTATTTCATTGAAAAGAAAGCATAATATTTTACATTTTTACAGCCAAATTAGAAGACACATTGGCTTACATTTACTGTGCTAGAGTGAGCCCCTAACAAGCGGTCTTTTAGCAGGATCAATCACTTAAATTCCCTATCTCTTACCTTAGACCTGTGTACAGGGTTGGCGAAGTCCAGGTCTGGTGCTATGAACAGGTAGCCACATTTGGAGATCTTTCTGGATGCCTAAAACATCAACATAAATGACTGAAACAATGCTGATAATTTGAATCATTTCAAATTAAATGTCACTATCATTAATATTAGATAGTACTTGTAATGAAAACAAAACCAGTTTTCTATGGCCCTATTTATGAACATTATCATTTTCATTAAGTTAATTAAGGTCTAAAGAATCTTATGTGTTCTTAGTAGAAAATTGTTCATTTTTATTTCTGAAAAGAAAAAAAAAAGGCTGAACCCAAGTGCTGATTGTTCTTTGTGCAGACATCACTCTGCACTTTCTATAGGCCATCATTACTACTCAAACTCAATCTAATTTAAAAAACAGTTTCGGCAAATATCCCAAGGACCTGATTACCATACTATTTGCCACCAGATGGGAGAATAATGTGCTGATCAAAGTACTAAAACACAATTTGTGGTTAGTGAAATGTCCCCAAGACCATTATTCACACAAGGTAATATGTGCATGGCAAGGGAGCTTTCCCTTCTACAATCTATTTGGCAATATTATTTTGCAATTATTTGATACAAGCAAAATTTTATTGTGAACAGTCTCATTTTTCAGCAAAGTTTAAAGTGTTACCATGCCATTAGTTTTTCTTCAAGATCTTTTGTCAGTAACAAGATCCAAAATTAGGGAAACCATTTATAAAAAATTTGCCTGTTACTCTCAAGAAAATGCATTTAACAAAAATACCTCATCTACCTGATCTCTGATTATTTAGTCTAGCTTATAATGGATTTATACTATTGTATTACAGTGTTCTTGACACTTTATCCAAATGGCTACACAAATACTTAAACAAGCTTATTTTGTTCTCAGATGTATTCCAAACTCAAAACAAATAACAGACACACGGTAGAATTTTTGAAAAAGAAGTATTGGTCCACAGCTCCTTCCCTCCCCCACCACCCTTCTGCTACTTTCCTCGAAACTGGACACTATAATTATGGCTAATAACACATTTCGCCAACATAACCTCAAACATTTCTTTTATCATATGACACACCCAGAAAAAAAGTTGTCTTAGCTCTGCTTTCAGGACAGGTATATTTTGGCTAAATCCTATTTTGCTGTTTTGTCTAATATCATGAATCACCTTCTGCTTGTGGGCTATTTAAAGTGCTCTGGTTGAAATGGGGTCCTTGTCTTCAACAATTATAGAAACACCAACATTTCATTGTGGCTTGTGACATTTTTTCATATGAATTACACAATACACCTCTAAGATAAATGTAAAGATGAGATTCTGTATATAAAAATTGTCAAAATAACTTAAAATATCTTTTAGCTAATATGTGTTACCTAATTTTTTACAGCTTGATTTTGACGCACATTAAAGTTAACAGTAATATAGCCATTGTCAAACAGGAGTCAAATAATTGTATACATCTTATTTCAAAGATACCTCAGTATTTTTCTAACTTTTGGCCTGCAGGGTGATTTTGAAAAGTTTTGAAAAGATTTAAACACTCAAATACACTTACCTTCTCACTCAAGCACTTGCTTGTTAGATAAAATGTAGCCCTAAGCCAATTACACTTATAATTTATGATGCAAAAGCTATATTCTAACTTGGGTGGAGTGCGATTAAAATCAAGTTATGATCTGGGAGTTTAAAATTATTTTTTATGTTTTATAATAAAGTAATATGCCTGGTTTCAGCACAGACCTTCTTCAACTTCAATAAACAAATGTTTACAACATTTAAACTTGATTAGTTATAAATGTTGAAACTGAAGATAACACAGACAGGCTCAAAATAAGAGAGATGGCAGGTTTAGGATCCAAATAAAAGTCAAATTAGTTGTCAAAATGTCACTTTACAGATTATTTTGATGCTGGAAAAGGTAAAGAAGCACACCACCCCACTCAAATCTTTCTTTCAGAAAAAATAAAATAGTGAAATCTACATCTTACACAATTATGTAGAGAGATTTTACAAAATAAAATAACACTGCTTGAAAAATGCTGGTTTCTTAACATATCAATGAATTTAATGTCAGTCTCTTTTTTAACCAGATAACCATATATAACTTGCACAATGAGATTAACGAAACAATAGGATGAAACAATTGTCACTTTGCACTGTGATTACCTTTCGGCATAGTGGGATAAACTCTACAAAAAATGTTACCAATAAAAATTGTTGACATGGCTCTACTAGCAATACAGGTGGATAATACTCAAGGTATCAATTAACACCGGCGCGTTTTCTATAACATTAGTCATAGCATTGCAATGAAGAATCATTGAAAGGGGGCTTGGCATGCACAATACATTACTATTAGTACTACAACAACTACTAGTCGTGCAAACTCGAAGTGAGTATTTAATTGAGAGTAATACTAAGTTTTACTACCTTGCTGCTTTCCAGAGCTTCGGCTGAGTGATGTTCCTTGGGTCGAAAACAGCTCTGACATTTGCTCTTGTTGAAGATGTTGGGCAGAAACTTTCGGCATGAGGAGGCCATTTTGAAAATGAACAAATCCGCTGGGCCGTCCTAATACGTATTGTAATCTCCTTAATGATTGCCTGACCTTAGCCTAATCTCAGGTGACATGACTACATTCTGCAGCGCCCTGCGTCATCCACCCAAAACTGATGATCAGAAGGAAAACACAAACTTTTCAGACCACGGAGTTGAGCGATTAGTTTTACAACTTGCCACTTGCTGGCTTGCCGCGTCACACCTTCAATAACAATGTTCCTGCGCGAATGAATTAATGGCGGAGTGACATGACATGTAATATTCTAAAACTGACACGACCGCCCCCTAACGAGTACTATCTCAACTACGGTGACAATTTCCCAATGGTAGTGCATTTGCAGGACCTAAAGTGTTTGAATCAGGCTTTTGGTGGTTTTAGCCTCATTGCCGTGTGATGAAAATTTAAGGACAGCACTTGACTATGGCACATTCAAAATAAATTGTAGGCCTAATCCTCTATAGGCCTTCCATCCTAACAGTTTTGCTCACCTCTGGTCCCGGATTTGGGCCTTAAAATAGATATGACATTTATTCATTCATTCCTTTTTTATTGTTCATGATTGTTGTTGGTTTTCATTCCATTTTTACTAGTTTAAAGCAAACTTTATCAACATAAACTTGATAGGCCTATAGACTAGCATACCAGTAGACTACTTTGCCGGCGATTTGAGTTTGTTTCAAGTGAAGGTTTAGTATATAGGATAAAAATTGTGTATAGTCTACCGTGGCAGCTTATAAATAATGTCTATGACGTAATGCTCAATTCATAAAATTCATAAGATAAACAAAGTAACAGAAATTACGAAAGATGACATGCGCTTATTTTGCTCCTGTCAAAAACTTTTTCGGCCTTAGGTATGGGGGGGGGGGGGGGGGGGGGCACCCACACGGTTAATTACTGTACACATGTAAGAGGTGATCACGTACCCAAGACGCTCACGTTCATTATGGTCCAAGCTTGACAATCTGTCAGTTGACTTCATCCGGACTGATATTGAAGGCGTATGGTATAGGAAGCAATTTTAAGGTGTGTGTGTGTGTGTTGGGAGGGGGAGGACCATTTCGGTGACCAATTTAGCACCAATAATAATAATAGCCTCACTCTAAGCCTATGCCTTTTTATCACTGATGTGATTGAAAAAGGTGTGGCGGCTTCGGCTCCCAACATATAGGACTTAAGTTTATTGATATTTTCATTATCATAGCCCATATACCATTATCATAGCCCATATACGGTCTCCTTGCTTTCAAAAATAAGAGAAGTAGAATTTTGCTTTTTATTCTTATCAACTATTTCTTTTTGTAAATACTTTTACTTTTTAAATTAACTTTGAAGCAATTATGATTTTCGTAAACTTGTTGTTTTACTTTGTAGAGAGCTCTTTGAAAGTGTAGATCTAGGCCTATTGACAATAACACCTGGATGGTTGTAATTTTCAAGATAAAGCATTGCCTAATAAGTTAAAGAAAGCTCCCGAAAATAAATAAATATTATCAGTTTAAGAATCGACTTCTCTACTAATATTTGAGCGAAAAAAATAGGTTCCTATCCTCAAAATCAAATTATCCAAATATCCTTCAGACTAAAAAAAATTTGCACTCTTCCAAACATCTATCGTGGATTTATTTTTGCAGTTGTAGTGACAAAAGGCAGAGACACACAGAGGAAACTAGGGGAAAACCAGATCAAAGTCAAGTGGACAGACATGGACTTGACTGAAACCCAGCCAATGGCACACTAGTTAGCGAAAAGACTGGGAAACTACGGTGTGCTGAGTAGGCCTAGTATAGCATGCGCAGCGCCTTCATGATTTCGCACCACGCACAGAGTTGAGAGAGAGAGGGAGAGAGAGAGAGAGAGACTGTAATCTCCAATCCAACCCGCTCTGGTCACTGCTTCAATCCCTTGCTTCTAGGCTTATATAATTACATCAATCCATATCTCTGCACTTTACACACAACGCCAAATAGGCCTACTGGCATCGTTGTGAATGAATGGTGTGTAGACCGTACGTTGTGATTGTGGAACATCTGTTGCAATTCACCGCAATACGTTTCGTCAAAGATCCTTTTAATGTATGTTTTGATGTGGTGAATCATGTTTCTGTTAGATTTTTTTTAATATGCAGTACTATATGCCAGAGTTTTCAATGTGCGTTAAGAGACAGACCCAAAAACCCGATACATCTTTTCTCAATTTGCTATGCATAAACCATACGTAGGTTGATTCGTTCTGACTTGTACAGTGTGTATTGCCGCAGCCAGAGAGCGCTTGCTCTTCCGGCTCTTTGTGAATTGATTTTGTGCAGTTGGCTGGTAAGGACAGTTCGTTCTACGTGCATGTTGTTGCGACGTTTCATGGCTACTTAAAATAATGAAATCAGCGCTTTTCGACGGAGGCTCAATCTGCTGGAAGGGAGATATTTGAAGCAAACATGTACTACACTCGCTGGATACATTCCAGCGTGAAGAGTTATATTGAAACCATGGACGGATTTCGCAAAGCTAGGTAGGCATATGTGAAATGTTGGACGCTTATTCTGCAATGCATTGTTGTAGAAAATGCGTAGGGTGAATGGTTTCTGGCTTTCGATTCACTTTATGGCATTAGGGGAATTAAGTAACATTGTATACAATATAAGTTCAGTATGAATACATTGTTTGTGTCTGCTTTTCATACCCTGACCTTTTCAAGATGTTATTTGCGTTCACCTGGATGAAGGATACCGCAAAGGAGTCTGCTCATAACCTTATATTGCAAGTATGCACATGTGCCCTTTACTTGATTCTTTTTTGGTCTTACTGAGGTGGTAAATTACTTTACCCAACGATGATAACAGAAAACTTTGCAAATTTTTCAAACGCATAAAATCTGTTGAAAAAGTTGTCAACACCGAAGGACACGATGGTTTACACCAAAAATAATCGCCTTTGATATTTTTGATTGATTATTGTTTTACAAAATAATAGAAGATAATCGTGGGTTAAATCAGATTGATCTGTATAATGATGGTCTGTTTTTGCCACAACGAAAGTGGTTAATTTCAAATACAGGTCAGCCAATTACAGTAAAATTTCTTCCTAGATCATCGATTATAGAACTGTAAAGTATATTGCTTTCACCAGTTTTCTGGGATGTCAAACGTAAGCCTTGGTCTATATAATTTTTATGAGCAAAATGAACGCACCCAAATCTCTTTTTCTGTTACGGCGCTTTTCAGAGTGTCTTTTAAAGATTCATGTTTTAACAATTTTACGTATTTATGATACTTCTTGCAAATGCCGGTTTCTGTAGAAAGGCATATGCAGCTATCTTTAAAGATAACAAGACCATTTGACTGCGTTTCTCTCTTTATTCGCTCAGAGGAGGACAAGAGGCTTATGCACTGTACATCTGATAGGAAATTGCCTTTGATAACAGGCTGTTGCGGTATTGATAAGTGGGGATGGTTAATTTGATGGCATCCCGTACCGATAGATATAGTCTGGGTAAGGACCACATTATTACCCGTTCGTTCTTCTTCCAAAACTATATTTAAAAATAAATAAAAGAGAATATTAATGTGAATAAAATATGGCTTCTCAAATAAATAAATAAATAAATAAATAAATAAATAAGTAAATAAAACGCCACGAAGACAATAGTAGGGGCGTATAATTTCAAAGATAAAGCAAGCCGAATTAGGAATAGCATTCAAAGAAGCATCACGGAAAACCTTACATCTTTATAACCGAGTAGGGAGCTAAAAGTTCTGTCTCAGATTATCCCTAATGATATGTAATGTTCTCTTTTGGTGTATAGTACAAAACGATATTTTATGTTTGAATGAACGGATTTTACAGTCAATGGATTTGTTAAACGGGTATGTTGCTTTTTTATTCTTGAATTTCTGTCCCGTTATTTAGGGTCCACACTCCAGTCCATGCAGTTCATGAAATAAAATGCCAACGAAGCACTAGTAATGTGCCGAAGCTGATATTATTACAATGTCGATCGATAAACGAGAATCTTAATGTCTTTATGGACTTAATGTTGCATTATCAGGGAATCGATCCAAACGATATGTCGGATTTGATATTAATATTTGAACATCGAAAACTGAACATGTCACGTAAACCGACTCTAAAACCATATACCACTGCATATGCTGACTAAGAGCTATCCACGTACGTAATGGCAATGTACATATACTTGTAAGTAGAGCAGCCTACTACTAATCCACCGAGGTCTTTCGCTAATGTCTCTTTTCCAAATTTTAATCGCTGGACCGAAAAAGAACCGATCGATTGACATTATAATAACATCACATGCACTTTGTAGGGCGTATTACGTCACCAAATATCCTCGACACCGAGGTGACATTAATTAATAAGGGCCTCCAAGTGTGATACCTAATATATATATATATATATATATATATATATATATATATATATATATATATATATAGGTATATTTAGAGTTAGAAAGATAACATATTCAAGTGATATAGGCCTAATGTTGATCAATAGCAAACCTTGTTTTAAGTTGACATAACAAAAGCGCAACGTAACCTTATCCTGGCGAATAAGCAGGTCCTGTAAATGTGTTACACAATAGCTTCAATGACAACCTTTTTTAAAAAGTTGGCGCTAAATTTTCACTTGAGAAATATCAACACCTTGTTACTATCAAGCTTAGGAGACACGCTCCCGTTTAAATTCACATCAATATCAACACAGTCTACACAAAAGTGGTGCAAATAGAATTTGCTTATTTGGAATCTCTAGGTCTACTTAATTACGATAATAGTTCAGCTTGCTAGCAATACAGATAGGCCTATCACTAAAAGCAGAACCGCACGGTCACGTGACCGGTAATAACGAGGTTTCTGTTCCGTCTATGAACACCGATATATTGTTGAGTCAATCGGTCAGGGTTGGTCGGGTTGGTAGGGGCTGTAGTTGATGGGGGTGTGAGATCCAGGGTATTCACCTCCCCAGAGCGCCCTTTTACATCCGCAAGTGCGATGAGAGGAACGGCTAACGGGATAAGGCGGAGTAATTCTCGGTAAGTGTGACAGTAAGACAACGTACGCTAGTTTCAGTATTTTGACAACGACAGTGACGGAATATTAAACGTCCACGCGTTCTGGCAGTGTCCCCGGTTGGGAAAGCTAACTAGAGGAACTACTGACACGAGAAAGGAGTTTGGACCTATAAAGAATTTGACTAGCTAAACTGTTAATTGGGGAACACTGGGATTGGATCACACACAACCAAAATGCACAGGTGTACATTGAAGAAGGGGGGGGGGGGGGGTTGGAGGAGGCAGCAGGAGGGTTATTTAGTACCAGAAGATTTCATACTCTATTAATTATGTTTATGTTATTTCAGTTTTTCTCAAGCACCTCACATATTTTGCTTCATCTAATTTTGTGCTTATAATAATAATAATAAAAATGGTTAGGCAACATAATACCAACTAGAGAAATGGTAATGCACTAACTGTATTGTATCGTCATTAGTATCGATATCATATTGTACAAGGTCATGACAATCTATGTACCAGTACAGAAATAAATTGAATAAAATTGAAATAATAATAATAATAATAATAATAATAATTAATAATTATTATAATTATTATTATTATTATTCTGCAATCATATTAGCTGTAACTTTTATTTTGTGTCTTTTTTGTAATGCCTTGTATGTCAAAATGAAAATCGGTGAAGTTACTAACCCCTCCCTCCATTCTCAATTATGTTACTTAATTATACCAAAGTGAGTGGAGGGAGGGGGCAGGATATAAAAAGAATGTTCTTTGTCTCCTGGGTCCGTCTTTTCATAGATCTTGCTACCTTTTACTGGTTTAGTCCAGTTTTAAAAATGGTCTCTGACTCCAGTATGTCACATCTGCATAGAGACAACAATATAATAATGCACCCCCCCCCCCAAACTCTTACACAAACTCAAATTGCATGTGAACTTTTATGTATCTCCACATGTCACTTTCAGCTATTCCTCTCTTAGGAGTTGGCCATTTACATTCCAATATATCCTGATAGTTTCTTCCCTCATTCTAGGTTTAATTTGCTTTATTTGTTTTCCAGACTGATGAACTGCCGTGCCAGGCCAGGCAGTGCCTATGTGCCAACTGATGTTGAACACATTGCCAACATGGTTACCCATGGGGTAAGTTCCAGAAAGTGTCAGCAGTGCTAATTGCATTCAAGCCAGTCACGGCACAGTACGACTCAATCAACAACTGTAATTTCTTCCTCTGACCAAATAAGTCATTTGAGTTAAGGATAGAAAGGATTCATGTTGTGCAAATGTTCACTCGATTACAATCAGATAGAAGACATTTAGACGATCAGATTAAGTCTACTGGAAGAAAGCACTCAGGGGTTGAATGAGAAATTTTCCATGAAAATGAAGTTGAAGCAAATCACTGTTGATGATTTGGGTCCTTGGTCTATAGTCACGTACACCATCGCATCTCAAACCTTTCATTATTCTGTAGTGAACTTTTTTCTTGTCTGAATATACATTTTAAACTCAAGGCTGTTTTAGTTTTAGACCTTAACAGGCATGGTTCAATTCAGAAGGTGAAATAAAACTGTTTTGACAAATGAGGTGTTTTATCAGAGTTTGAATTTTTTCAGATATGGATCTTGCCTAGTTTTGCAGCTGGGGTATGGATGGTGAACCTGGCCCACACACCCCTCCAATACCTTACTTCTGTTATATATGGTATGGCATTAATGGCCTTATTTATCACTTCAACCACATTTCATACCATATCCTACACTGGGAAATGCATGTAAGTATCAGTTTGGTTGATGCACAGCTAAAACACGATAAACATCCTGTCTTTTCAGGGTTTAACCATCCTTATATGGCATCTCTTGTTTTTCTTGGATAAATTATGTCAAGCCATTTTGTTTTCATGTTTTATTCAAAATGTCACAATGTTACTAGAAGCACATTTTGTCTGCATAAATAGCCTTGACATCAGTGTATTTCCAAATTAAACAATTGAAAAGACATCTGATAGTCTTACATTTCAATTTAAACATTTTAGTTCCCCCAACCACCTACAACCACCCTTCAGATCCGTGCCCTAAAGTTGTGGTGATATTTGATATTATTTTCAGACCTACCTCCCATTTCAGTTTCAAAATGTTTGGTAACTTTGTTACTGAAAATGACTGAACTAATGAACATTGCAAAATCCACCCTAATTTTGTCAGCATAAAAGCAATTTTCATTGAATTTTACATGCAACATGGTAATCAAATTTGTCAGAAATGCTGGTACAATAATGAAAGAGAATAAATGTGCAAGAAGTTCTCTGTCCTAGAATTGAGTTTAACTGAAGGAAGATAAAATCAGTGCAGATGTATTAGTATTGATCATGATTGAGTGGATAAGGAGAGGCTGTGACTTATATGGATATAGGTTGTCTAGGATAATTTAAGAAATCGAGTGATAAGATGCTTCTGTTATTTAAATTGCTTCCATGCAGTATTCTCAATCCTGTGCATGTGTTTTGAAGCAGCTAAATTTGAGTTCATGTACATATTTGTACAAGTAGCGATTAATATTTGATTTAGGTAAATCCCCAAAGATATAAAAGATAAGTCACTACCAGCCAAATCAGAGGCAATTTCATCTTGAAGGGACATTTGTCCCTATAAGTGGCAAACAGTTATGTTGTTTTACTTCTATTTGCTGAGTGGCCTTTATGTTAATAAGGCAGGTTCCTTTCAAAAATCAGCATGATCAGATTGTTTTTATTTTATTTATTTTTTTTAGTTTTGCATTTGTCATGTAATTCGCCCAATAAGTACCAAACCACATTATTGATTTATTTCTTGTGAGTGGCTTTGTATTTTTAAAAGGTAGGGTCTAGGATCCTATTTATTTTACAAAAGTTATTCATTTTTTTTTTATCAGCTTGATTGATTTTTTTCAAATTATTACTTTTTTATAAATATTGTTGCGGTGTCTTTTTTTTTTTTTTTTTTTTTTTTTTTTT